GCTTAATAAACGACAACGTTTTATGTGCAACCCCATAATGACATACGAAGACGGCCACTGTTTTGTGGAAATATTAGTGAAAAGCAGATATTCACTTAGTTCGGACAAAGGCACGAAAGAGTCTATTACCACATTAACTGTACACTGTGTCGTTTATTGCGCAAAAGCGACATAACAATAACGAATGGTTCTGACACGAGGTTTAATGAAAGGCAGAAAAACGAGAAATATAGATCCACAAACTTCATAGAAATTTAAGCAAACGATAAAGGATAAATGTTTTAAGCTGCGGCGATCAAATACGAATAGTCGATTCGACATACGTCGCGAGTACCTTTGTTCTGTACTTAAAAGAAAATTCTTCCCCCCCCAAAAAAAAAATAAATAAATAAATAAATTAAAAAAAAAATAAAAAAAAATAAAACTAAAATAAAATAAAATAAAATGTATCCCATGATAATCACAATGTGTCTTACATTTTGTTCACACCCATCGGTGAAATATATCTGTTATATTCATATTCAACAGTGAAAATGTATTAAATTATTTGCAATTCATTTAAGTTTTCTTTTGCAAATGAATAGAGGTACTTGCAAGATATTATCACAAATTCGTCAATTTGCGCTTGATCGACTACGACAAAACAAAAGTCGTTCTTAAATCGTCCTTATTCGGATTTAAGCTTTCTGGGGGCGGATTCTTGGAAGTTAGCATCCATTACAATCAAATGTTTTCACTCTAAGTTGCTCTCCGCAACATGATTATAACAATCATCTCGATTATCTGTCCTTCCAAACTGAATCTCTGCTTTTTCTCAGTTCTCTTTCGCTGAGGAGATTGAAAAATATCAACCTTTCGTAGATATTAAAAAATACTCTGATCTATTTCTCGTTGAAATTAACATAAATATCATTAACAATATTTTTCGAAACTTTTTGTATACCAGACGGAACACCTGTATGGATTTTATGAATATACACATTACATTCAGACCGTCTCCAATTCAAGTTAATTGAAATTTCATTAAGCAGTTGTTTCGATGTCAGTAGACCATTAACATTCCTAGTCACCCCTGTCGGACCGCCTGTCAGAGACTGAACAACAAAACAATAATAACATCAACCAAAAAAACAAACCTTAAAACACTAAAAGATGTAATAACACATAGACTGATATATATAAAAAAAAGAGTAAGAACAGACAACCCTAAGTATTGTTTGGAAACAAACATTATAGCTTTAAACTAGAAATATCAGAACTTGGACTTCTTAATAGATTTCCGCCAAATACAATATTGTCGTACAGCCCTGTAAATTAATCACCACTAATTAATTTCAGATAGGGTCCACTTTCCCGCCTGTTTTGATAATAATAATAATATATAACATTCTTAAAGAGCTTAATACCACGTTTCTGGGCCCATTAAAATCGAAAACCAAGATATTTTTGTCGCAAGATAACAGACAATCAGATCATTTCATACAAGTTAGGGGACAATAAAAATATTGTACTCAGATTGGGTCTGAAAATATTAAATGAACTTAATATCTAGAACTTTATGAGAAATGACAACTTTCAACAGTTTCCGTGTCATTTCGTTCCTTTGTTTTTGCAGACATTTCCTGTCAGAAAAATATAATTTATACATTGAGAGTACATGAGGCAACAATTTGATACTGTGTGTGCTTCAGTATTGACCAGTTTAAGTGATATAAACAACACACATAACGCAACAACAAATATATTCGACAAACCTATTAGGTGGCTTTTTCTTTTGCAGAATCATTCTGGGAGCCAATCAAACCCAATCGGACATTTCTTTATTGCATATTTCGGATTTGGAGCATCTGCACTCGGGTCTTGTTCAGTTGTTATTTCTTTTATCTGATGCTTGTTATATACAAATTGCATGTGCTAAATTACAAAGAACACAATGAGTTTAATTGTAGTAAGAACATGTTTGTGTTGAAAAATGAATAAGACAATCATTTCAAGAGGATGTTAACATGGCAGGTTTTTTAGTCAGCATGACCTTTGCACATGAATCTGATTCAGGTACATTTAGTGTTTTACGTACGACAGATTTTTCTCTCCTAAATTAACAATAAACGGTTCATAGATGCCATATCGATAAATGCTTATCTCCTTCAATATGGCATATGTACATTCAAATAGCTGTCACATTGTTTCCTAGATTGGTTTACTGGAATCCTCGATTTTTCATCACGTTCTTTAAAGTACATACTACTACTACTACGTAATGTCATAACCCCCTCTGGGCCGCCGCACAGTGGGCCAGGGAGGAACCAAAGTGCGCCAAAACTCATGTTTGGGGACTTGTTTTTTATAAATCCAGAGGAAATGTTTGGATTTCCAGGGATTTTCGCTTAAATTTTATTACCAACATTTTCTCTGATGTCTAAGCTTTAAGTTGATACCAGATTTGGCTGCCCGATTCTGCCCGTTATTATGTTAGAGCCGTTTTCCTTGCAACATTGCCCCGAAAAATGTGTTTATTTTGGTCCGCGGTGTCAGAACAAGTGTTACGCGCCCCCTCGCGCCGTGATTTATGACCATGAATCCTTCATGATTCAGCCGCGGACCCCAAAAACCCACATTTTTCGGGGCAATGTGGCAAGAAAATCGGCTCTAACATAACAACGGGCAAGATCGGGCAGCCAAATTTGGTATCAACTTGAAGCTTAGACATCAGATAAAATGGTGGTATTAAAATTTAAGCGGTACACCGTAGAGATCTAAACATTTCTTCTGGATTTATAAAAAACATGGATAATTAGTCCATTTTTCAGTGAATTACCCTATTATATATCATGAAGATTGTGTTTCTATTAATTTTAACCCATTCATTCAACGAAATGAACTATCATGAATATGTGAGAGCAATTTCAAATCAATAACTTAAAAACTTCATGTTGAATTAAAAGATTTTTTAAAAAAGTCACTTTTGCACTAAAACTGTGAATATGTAGGATTTTGCTGTTTGAAGTAGTAAATCTATACCCTTATTGTGCATACCGGAATTAAATATTTCACTGAGGTACTCCTCTATGTATTACCTTTCAACTGGGCAAGACAAAAAATGAAAAAAATAAATCACCCAAATTTAGTTTTGGCGCACTTTGGTTCCTCCCTGGCCCACTGTGCGCCGGCTCCTCTCTCACGTATTCACCGTCGCTACTCTAATTCCAACCTCCCAATTCATGATGTTGTCTATCCATCCTGCACGACACCTATATCACCTCGGCACTTCCCTTCGAATTCGCTTCCGATAGTTGCTTGTACAACACTCTCCCTTCTTCTTTTCTAGTGCCAATACTTTGCGATCTTTCTTTTTCTTGACTTGCCGAGATTCTTTCCTCATGTGGTACCGCTAAAATACATTTCCAAAATTAATTGTCCCTGTTTTCATCAGATTGTCCATTTGATGCTGCTGTGATATTGTTCCGGATAGATCCAGTCTCTAGCATAGCACTTGGAAGAAGATACCCATCGAGATCTGTGTTGGTTCCTGTTCCAGGACTTTGGTAAACAGTTTTAATATCCATGTACTCTTGTATCTCTTCTTGTGTTGTGTCTTGCGGTAAAGGGACCTTCCCTTCACCTCCGGTACAAGCGATTTCCATGTTCGATTCCTTGTCATGATTTTCACGAGTTAGTTCATATGTTACTGTATCACCATCGTTCAATGAAGGCACTGCGTTTGGAAGGACGTATCCATCAAGATCTATGTCCGTCCCCGTTTTCGGCTTTTGGTAAACCGTTTGCATTTCCATATAATCGTCTTTCATATTTTCCTCTATGCCTTGAGATAATGACCCCGTTCTTGTGTTTTCATCAGAAGGTTTTCTCTTATTTGATACCGATTGTCTATCGTTTAAAGGTATTTCTGTGCTCGGAAGGAGATATCCGTCTATGTCCAAGTCCTTATCCGTTTGAGGTGCTTGGTAAACGGTTTTCATGTCCGCATACCCGTGGTCCTCTTCTAAATCGTCATCATGATTGTCTGCTATAACTTTAATATTTGATTCGTAATGGTGACCCAAAACATCACTTTTCCGTCTTTCTGGTAATTTAGGTGGAGCGTTCAAATCTTGGTAACCGGAACCAGGTGACAGAGCGTGCATTGATGACATAGTCGTCACGTCCATATATATGTCAGTGTCTAAATCTCTAGCAGCCATTCTCTTTTTAAACCTATAAATACAGTACCCAAGTGATGCGATCAGAATGCAGCTTAATAGTAAAATACACAGTCCAATTAAAATTATCATTCTGAAATCAACCAATAGAATTGGGACTGCTGTTGATTTTAAATTTCCAATTTTACTCGTGTAAAGCGGATGTCGCGGTGTGCTGAAGTTTTGTCCTTGCATTTTTGGTGGAACTATCGTAGTTTCGTGTCCGATTTGCAAAAGCTTGGTTGTGTACGTAGAAGGTATTTCATCAGCGATGATCAAGTCCGAGTAATTCGTCAAACCTAAAAAGATGTTTCGAAACAATAAGAAAAATTGTACCGATAAATATTCATGGAAATGTAGAATGTAGAGGTCACATATAGAAAAAACTTATTAAAAACAGGCCTATTTCGTAATCGTGTCATTTCCTAAACATTGCATACAAATTTATTCGTAAGAAGGGGTCTAAATCTTTCCATAAAACCTGTGGCAGTATTTAATTTATTTCATTTGAAATTCTTTGGTTCTAATATTTAATTTTTAAAATGTCTATTTTACTCAGTCAAAAGACAGAAGTTTCCCACAATTCCATGCTTGTGTCGTTTTCCTAATATCGAGTAACGGACTAAAAAATCAAGCTATATTTGAGGGAAGTTGTGTTTTGAATGCATAATAAAGTTACCCGGGTGTTCGATTACCGTGATTAAAAAATATAATTTAGCCCTCTTTTTTTCGTTTTGGACGATATGTATCCGGTAGTTTTTGGCATTTTTTTTTTTTTTAATGACGGATTTATGGTGTTACCTCCATGTCTACATATGACACTGGCATCCTCCTTGTGGTAACAATAATGAACACCTATCCCCTTATGCTTGCAGTCTTTAAGGTTGGTTTCTGTTCCATTGCACTGAACACCATCCAGAAAGATATCACCAGAGCCTTGACCAAATCTTGATTGGGGTAGAGCAGCTAAAGCCCCATCAAATTCCAACTGTCTACACACAACTTTAGCGTCGTCCAGGTCCCATAAATCGTCGCATACAGTCCCCCAAGACCCTTCGTGTAGTATCTCAACTCGGCCTTCATATCCATCGGCTCCATTGACAAGTCGAACTGAAATGTATAGCAAACAAATACAGGGTGGGATTTTGACCCAATCAAAGATGACTTTTATAAATATTTAGCGATTATCGACGCAATTCCAAACATACCGTTTCATAGAACGGTATGTTGGAAATACTTGGTGAAAAATTGACAAACACATGTAAGGAATACTCGCTTATGAGCACTTTCACCACAGCTTGATATTTCGACAAATTCGTATGTCAACAAAATAATACTAACGGGTTTATATTGCATTTTTAGGTTATCCCTTTAAAAAAAAAATTAACAAGAACTCACATCGCCTTTATAAAAAAAAAACTGTTAATCTACAGGAACACTTGTAGAAATTTGTAGGGCATAAATAAATCTGACAATTTTTATGAATATGAAATTCTCTTGTCCATTAGCACCACAGAGGGCTTATGCCGAAAGGTGGATAGCGTCGCGTCGCGGCGCGTTGACTTAAACCATTGGACCATTCGTCCAAAGCCCCCCCCCCCCCGGTTTGGCCGAAAGGGTGCGTTGGGAGCGTTGTGTTGCGTCGAACGCGACCATTCGTCCAAAGCCCCCCTCCGTTTTGGCCGAAAGGGTGCGTAGTCTTCGACATCAGTCGTTTATAATAAAATTTACGGAATAGTAATTTAAGTCGTTTAAATTCAAATAATCAAGATAGAAACAGATGAAACATTAAATAAAGCTAGTTTTTACGTAGTCTATCTGATTAGGCGTTTAACTCTTATCGTGCCACAGGGCTAATCCCCACTGTGCCAGGTTGTTTTGGAGATAATCTGATTAACGCGAGTGCAAAACACACAGCACAGCCCAACGAACATGAACAATAACTGCTATTACGAAAGCGCCCATGCACGCACATGGCACTCAATAGGTAACGTGCATGCAGCCTCATGGCAGGCTATGAGTTAAGAATGATAAGAATTACATCAATTAATGAATTTAATAAATATTTTTAAATGGCCAAATAAAAATAATATCCATTTCTTTCTATGTATAGAATTCTTTTTTGATGTAAACTAGTCATGCTTAATAGTCTTTACAAATAAAATAACAAATAAATAGATGAACAACGGAGTAGGCCTGCCACCTTAATATGCACCCTTTAGGAATAGGCGGGCGGTGGGGAGGGGGGGGGGGGGGTTCTGAATTCCATACATAGAAAGAAATGGATACTATTTTTCGTTAATTTAATAAATAAACGACTGATATGCAAGACTAGGTAATCACCTTTATTAGACATTTTAGATATCATAGTAAATTATTTGATTGTGTTTTTTGGGGTTTATTTGATTGTGATTTAATTCTTATAAACGCCTGATCTGCAAGACTACGTACAAACTAGTTTTATTTAATGTTTAATCTGTTTCTATCTTGATTATTTGAATATAAACGACTTAAATTACTATTCCGTAAATTCTATAATAAACGACTGATATGGAAGACTAGTTAACGCACCCTTTCGACCAAACCGGGGGGGGGGGGGGGGGGGGGCCTTTGGACGAATGGTCGCGTTCGACGCGACACGACCTTCCCAACGCACCATTTCGGCAAACCGGGGGGGGGGGGCTTTGGACGAATGGTCGCGTTCAAGTCATGCGCCGCGACGCGACGCTACCCTCCCTTTCGGCATAAGCCGCACTAGAGTGGTAGGGAAAGAATCAAATCAATCGACATATGCCTATCCAGCCATGATAGAAAATGATGACGATCAGAATTTCATTATTCTATCATGATTTGAAAAGCTTACCTCCCACGGAGCAAGAGGCGCCAGCATCTCTACTATGACTACAATGAGAACATCCTACGCCTGCGTGAAAACAATCTGCCAAGTGATCTTCTGTTCCCTCACAACGAACATATGTCAGAAGACTTTGGCCAGGTCCCTGACCGAACCTTGCAGAAATAGGTGCAGCCAATGCTTCGTTAAACCCCAGCATTCTGCAAACTACCTTCGCGTCTTTTAGATCCCACCAGTCATCACATATAGTTCCCCATGATCCATCGTACATTACCTCTACTCTTCCTTCAGCATCGTTAGATCCATTGACAAGACGAACCTGGAATGGATCTAGAGGGTCAAGATGAAGATAATTCTATCATCAACAAACGTGTGTGATAAAGATTTATTCAGTTGCCATCAACTTTGCTTCAAACAAACACCCTCTACACAAGATTATCATAAGATTTATAAAGAAAATTAATATTCGTAAAAGATAGCACATGCATAGAAAATTGTGGTGAATAAGATTTATATGTTTGTGAGCACCAGTCACTGAAATGTTACTAATCGAGAAAAAAAATACTAAAGAAATCCCATTGTACGATTGTACATTATGTTTAAACTATTTCCAATTACAGTAAGGGAGCTGAAGCGGTGTAATGGTAACATGAGCCTACCCGTAAGTATCATGCGAATGATCAATGCTAGGTATATTTATTTAGTTACCTTTCCGTAACATCTTCATGACTCCAGTTTGGCTGACATCTATATGCATTCTAAATTTTGAAAACTACACAACGGACCTTCTTTAAAACAAAATACACCAGCATCACTGTCATGGTCACAGTTATTGACTCCAAGCCCTCGATGGTTGCACTCAGCAAGGGTGTCTTCTGAGCCTTTACATCTAACGTCATCAACAAAGATTTTACCGCTTCCGGCACCAAACGTAGCACTACCAGGTGCTGCTAAAGCTCCGTCAAATCCAAGAATTTTACAAACTACCCTTGCGTCTCTTAGATCCCAGTTATTATCACAAATAGTTCCCCATCGTCCATTATTGAAAACCTCCACCCTGCCTTTTGAATCGGTGGTTCCATTGGTAAGACGAACATGAAATGGGTCTGTTGTGTTTAATGAATGGTTAGGATGAAAAGCAGAATAGGTTTATCAGATAAAATGTACATACACCTACAGGGAAATGTTATCAAGTGCCCCTCTTTAAAGGGATAGTTGAGTTCTGTTGCAGAGGGCGCCACAAAAAATACCTTTTTTATAGAACATAATATTTGAATAACAAAATCATCTTTGTTTGATCAAAATCTGAAAACAGGACTCAACTATCCCTTTAAAAACATCCAGTCCATGGATCGGTTAGCAGCATTTCACGCGTATCAGGATAATTACCCCTTGGACATTCACCCCGGGAAAGAAATTACCGCCCTGTGGAAAATTTTACCCCCACCCCACCCCTGAAAATTACTCCCTAGGACAATTACCCCTTCCCAACGACAATTGTTCCTCCACCACGATAATAGCCCCCAATGACATTTACCCCTCCGGAAAATTACCACCATGTTCATTAAAGAGGAAGTTTACCCAGATAATAAGTTTGTTTTAATAAAAGCACTTTTTTTTTTTTGTTGGGGGGGGGGGGGTGATTTTTTTGGGGGGGAAAGATTGTCCAGGGGTAATTTCCCTAGAACCCCTTACACGTGAATAGACATATCTGTAGAAGAGCAATCCCTTAACTATTTTTAAAAATACAGATGAGACGCGGGAGTAAGAAAATCTTCTCATAATTCTCATTTGTTTACGGAGGTCACTTCCGTGCCGCCAACTTCAATGATCGACTCAGGGGAATATACCTATATATCTAAAAGGTAAGAATAATTACTCAAATGGCTAACCTATACAACGAAATAATAACCTACCTCCCGAATAACAAACAACGCCTGCATCACTTGTATGGTTGCAAGAGTAACGTTGACTTCCTGTATGAGCGCAGACTGCAAGGTTATCTTCGGTTCCATCACATCCAACATCATATAGATGAATACACCCAGAGCCCTGACCAAACGTAGCAGATCCCGGTGCGCCCAAGGCTCCATCAAACCCCAACATTCTGCAAACCACCCTCGCGTCTCTTAGATCCCACCGAGTATCACATATAGTTCCCCATGATCCATTGTACATGACCTCTACTCTCCCTTCAGTGTCGTTAGACCCACTGACAAGACGAACTTTAAATGGATCTGTGAGGGGAGAATCCGGGAGTGAAAGGATTTTTTGCTTGAAATATGAAGAGTTTTGCCATGTCACATTTAGACAAAAAGAGTGCTAACTTAATGGTTAAAACGCATATACGGTTGCTGTTTTTGAGCCCACAATCCTCGAGAGCAAACGCCAAAGAGTCCCGAAAAAAGTGTGGATAGTGAAAAAGAAGTTAGTTAATACAGCCCACCTATATATATCAAACGAAAAATTCTTAAATTTCGGATGTATTTGTTCAGGTTTAAACAGTTTTTAAACTTAGATAAAGCACTTAGATATAGATAATTTTCTGTTAAAGCTGTTAACTATTCACATATTGCTCCGTTTAGTCTCATTTCACAACGCCCCCTATCGTCAGAGTCAGCTGCCTAACATGTTAGCCTATATGGAATGTTACCCCCCAAAATCGTTACAAATTCATTTTTGTTTTGTTTAGACGAAAAGCACATCCACCCTAACGTACGTTATCACTAGCTCTTTCATTGGAATCCTCATGTCTCATTAACTTTTGAAAGTTCACCCACCGTAATTTGATCAAAATAGGTTGCAAGCTCGTCATTGCCTATAATACACATGTGAAACATGTCGAACTTTGGACTCAGTTTGCCAAGCGATTTTAAGATTATAGGTCAAGCATACGAAGGATAAGAAGCATGAATTATTATAGATCACTTCTGCTTGGTTCATTTAGTCCATTTCATCCAACCCCCCACCATAATTTTTCCATTTAGTAAAAGGAAGCATTTTTCCGAGGTAAGCAAAAACATGAATATTCATGAACGGTCAGACAATACAGCCTTTTAGTACGTAACGTATAGTGAATGGGAATGGTCGATGATCCGTCCAGGAGGTAGAGGTCAGTGGTTTGTGCTGGTAATGTTCCAGCGAGCGAAAATGAGACAACCGGAGCCATATGAACTGATAATCTATAATCAATATTGACATACATGTATGGCCACTAAATATGATTAAAAGAGGAATCCTATCCAAAACCCTCCCTAGATTTACAAGAGCAAAGTCACTCTCATTCATCGATTTTTGTTTTCATTTGTGAGAACACTAGGGCATCATGACACGTACACCCCCTAATGCAGAGAAGCTGGTGATAAATATACATCGCTCTTTTTTAGTGCCGCCTCGAAATTATTCGTTTGTATGCCTCCGCCACCGAAGGTGGTGCCGGAGGCATCATGTTTTCGGGTTGTCCGTCCGTACGTCCGTACGTCCGTACGTCCGTCCCGTTTGACCGTTATCACAATATCTCAAGAACCATTTAAGATTTAAACTTAAGACTCGGGAATAGTATTTATCACCATAGGAAGACGATCTGATTAGATTTTGGAGTACGTAGGTCAAAGGTCACAGGTCACAGAGGTCAACTTATGAAATTCCTTGTATTGAGTTTGTTAGCGCGATATCTCAAGAACCATTTGATATTTAAACTTCAAACTTAAGGATAGTATGTATCACCATAGGAAGACGATCTGATTAGATTTTGGAGCACGTATGTCAAAGGTCAAGGGTCACAGAGGTCAACTTATGAAATTCCATACATTGAGATTGTTATCATGATATCTCAAGAACCACTGGAGATTTAAACTTCAAACTTAGTGATAGTGTGTATCACTATAGGAAAACAATCTGATTACATTTTGGAGCACGTAGGTCAAAGTTCAAGGGTCATAGAGGTCAACTTATGAAATTCCATACATTGAGATTGTTATCATGATATCTCAAGAACCACTGGAGATGTAAAAACTTCAAACTTAAGGATAGTATGTATCACCATAGGAAGACGATCTGATTAGATTTTGGAGCACGTAGGTCAAAGGTCAAGGGTCACAGAGGTCAACTTATGAAATTCCATACATTGAGATTGTTATCATAATATCTCAAGAACCGCTGGAGATTTAAACTTCAAACTTAATGATAGTGTGTATCACCATAGGAAGACAATCTGATTAGATTTTGGAGCACGTAGGTCAAAGGTCAAGGGTCACAGAGGTCAACTTATGAAATTCCATACATTGAGATCGTTATCGCGATATCTCAAGAACCACTGGAGAATTTTCACTTCAAACTTAATGATAGTATGTATCACCATATCATAATATCTCAAGAACCACTGGAGATTTAAACTTCAAACTTAATGATAGTGTGTATCACCATAGGAAGACAATCTGATTAGATTTTGGAGCACGTAGGTCAAAGGTCAAGGGTCACAGAGGTCAACTTATGAAATTCCATACATTGAGATTGTTATCATGATATCTCAAGAACCACTGGAGATTTAAACTCCAAACTTGTTTAAATTGCTCTATGGCGGAGGCATCATTTTCGACTGCGCGCAGTCAAAATTCCATCTAGTTTTAATTCGATATTATCAGCAATTAACCTATAGGCGTTACAATCTCACGATTATAATTTCATTGGATTAACTTAATTTCTAACAATATGTTTAGCATATTTGCATCGTTAAGCAAAAAAGTACACTTCTTTGAGTACATCATAGTGAGTGCATCACTACCAAAGTATCCGATCACCCATATTTTCAGAATACATCTTCCATGTCTTTCCTTTATTAGTGTTCTTCTAAAATTCCATATTTTCTATGTAGACATATTAATGATCCTCATCCATTTAAATTTCTTCTCATATTTTAAAGTCCGTACAACATTCGGGTTTGGGCATTATAATTTTAAAACTTCTCAATGTTGGTATCTAAAAGAAATTGCAATATCAAGAACTATGTCCCTCATTGATGTGGCTTTCTCTTCGAAGGAACGTTCATATATGACGTGAAAAAACCGTGGCGTTTTTGTTATGAAGACGTAACGTCTAATTCCCTTTACATCTCTGCATACAGATTGATTCTGTGATTCTTTAAAACGAGAACAAATATGTGGCTACTTCGTCTTGCATCGGTGTACCGCGTGATATGTGACCTAGTACTAAGCAGTTGTGATGTTGGTGTAATCAGGAATAATATCGTATTGCATATATGGCGATGACCTGGGCACTTCGTGTTTGTCATCACCAAGTGGGACGCCGGTTACTGCCTTGTTAGCATTCGTCGAGACTCTAGCATATGTGTTGAGATTGTAGAATCTTGATTACAGTCAGGATAATTGTCTTTACCTGCGGAAGGCTCTTCATAAACAGTTATCATGTCCATGTATTCATGTTGCATAGTCACTGTCTTTTGTTACGGAGGCATGTCCTACATCTTTCACATATGGATAGTTTGTCGGGGATCCTTGAGTTATTACCGCTGGATCCGTGCCTATGTCTACATCCGTATCTGAGTTGATATCCATATACTCGTGAGTGTAATTTCCTCGAGTATGTTTCGGTTCTTTGCTGACACTTGCATTCTTGTAATACCGTTGGACACCAGTCACATTCACAGAAATTTCGTTTCCTAAACCTGTAACACCCGGTAAAAGATACCCATCGGTGTCTATGTCTGTAACTCCTGGGGGCTCGTGATAAACAGACTTGATGTCTATGTATTCATGAATTCCATCTTGTCTGCTGGGTTGTAGTGTTCCTTTCAAACTTCGATTATTGTCAATATCGGGTAAACCAGTTGATTTTGCTCTGATATTCGGGATAACTTTACTTTTGGAGGCCGTAACGCTTGGGATAAGATAGCCATCAACATCTTGATCGGTGTCTGCTGATGTGACACCAGGAAAAAGATAACCGTCAACATCGAATTCAGAACCGGATGAAGGGTTTTGATAAACAATAGTCATGTCCATGTACTTCTGGTCTATATCTTGTATATTTCTCGCTCTTCTTATAGTTCTGACGTCATTCTCTGTTACATTAGGAAGGAAAAACTGCACGAGCTACGAGTTCGTAATGAAATGCACAGTTTTTCCGTTATAATCATTTTGCCTTCGGCGTAGACTAGAAGGGCTGAGATTTAGATGACGTCTGCGCAGCGAGAGTTTAAACTACCGCTGCAACATTAACATGTTGATCGGTGTCTGCTGATGTGACACCAGGAAAAAGATAATCGTCAACATCGAATTCAGAACAGGATGAAGGGTTTTGATAAACAATAGTCATGTCCATGTACTTCTCGTTCATATCTTGTATATTTCTTGTTCTTATTCTTGTAGTTCTGACGTCATTCTCTGTTACATTAGGAAGGAAAAACTGCACGAGCTACGAGTTCGTAATGACATGCACAGTTTTTCCGTTATAATCATTTTGCCTTCGGCGTAGACTAGAAGGGCTGAGATTTAGATGACGTCTGCGCAGCGAGAGTTTAAACTACCGCTGCAAGATTTTTATCATGGATGTCGATTTTGACCCATAATTTCCTAAAAAAGGACCATTAAACGGATTATTTCAGTCAAGTTGGTTAGTGGAACCGAAGTAGTTAAGCCTATACCTAATTGTCAAAATAAGATGCACCGGATATGCATCCTGTGAAATATGGAATTTGGCCGGTAGTTTTGCCAACTTGGTGTAAAGAAACGTTACACCGAACGTGAACACTAAAGCGTATGGGCCTGTTCTGTCTCTAAAGAGAGAGCCGACCCTACCCAAATCAGAGGCTAACGAACGAAAGAGACAGAAAAATTCGGTCTAATGTCAGGGTTGCTATCTACCCTGTATTCCCTACACGGGAGTTTGACACTATCTCTGTACAAAGTAACTTCATCGAGGTCTTATTCGAAATTATTTAGTGTAAATACCATACAAACTTACGCTATGTAGATGTCTTTATTGTTCAGGAATATCAATTTTGTAAATATGCTAAGTTTTGTTAATGTATTGTTTTTTTTTCTTCATATGAAATAAAAGAAACTAAACTGAAAAAAGTGACACAAACAAGAATACCTGGAAAATAGCAACCGGCTAAAAAGCTCCCAAATTAAGGGAGTGGCGATAAAGAAACAGTTGAGAGGGCATATATTGTAATTGAATCTAATGATTTCATTGGGTATCTGTATCAATAGTCAAAGAACATCAATCAAAGAAAAGAAAAGGAGTTAAAAAGTTGATATGGAAGACATATACTTTCACTCTTACCTTGGACAAAGATATTAAAAATCTCGCTGTCAGTCATAATCCCAGCTCCGTTAAAAGCCAAGCACTTATAAATTCCATCTTCTTCTTGGGTAATGTCAGATATCTTGAGCACGCTGAAGAAATACGTCCTTCCTGTTTCCATTTCTTGGCTTGGTTCAATGCTAGTCCTGTTCATACCATCCACTAGTTGCACCCCATTCCGCTCCCATGCTATGCTTGTTTCACTGCTCGAGAACACGGTACAGTTGAGACTTGCCGTTCCGTTTAGTTGGACATAATCCTTAGATCTGCTGAGGTCATCGTCAATTTTACCAAGAACTGAAAGGAGCAGTGCAGCATAAAAAATTCCATGAAACCGAGGTGGGCATCCAAAGTACAACAAGTAACGGGCAACAGTACAATCTGGTCAATACCACTTGCAATGCTGAACTCTCAGAACAATCTGAATGTTAATTGCAAAATATATCTACAACAATTTTTAACACATCAGCTCACACTACTTTTCTTTGCAAACTGTCTATAGGTTTCAAAATGCCTTTATTTGGGACTTGTAACAAATGCCCATTTAATTTATGTATGGTGTTCATACATTTACATAGAATATTAAAGAGAGAATATCAGAAATCTGCATGTACTTCATCTAACTAATAAAAAAATACTTTTTGGATGTACGTTACATGTACAAATCGACCGGATAGTGACATTTTCGATTTGTATGACAATTCTGTATGCATGTATGGTTTGTTTCTACACGTTCATCAACTTTTCTTGCTACTCACCGACTACATCAAGTAAAATGTCTTCGCTCGATGAAATAAACCGTTCTCCTTTTGTCACAGCAGTGCAGCGGTAGGCCCCTGTATCTTCTGCACCGGCTCCCCGGATGGTGATGTAGTACATTCCCATGTCAGGGTTGCTGTCTACCCTGTATTCCAAATCAGTTGTATCCGGGAGTTTGTCACTATCTCTGTAGCTGGCAACCTCATCCAGGTCTATCCCTGCGAGATTTACCTGACAAGCTAGTGTAAAGTCGTTGCCCTTTGATATTGTATCGTTAGATGGGCGGTTGGCTGTGACTTTAACCTCGCCTGCAAGAATGAAAGTACCAAGTCATGGTTAGGGTACTTATTACAAATTACGGTCTTCTTGTACGGCATGAAATTTTAAGCCAGAAAAGTAAGCAAAACGGTCTATATGTTCAATAGATTCCTAGTGAGCATTATGTGAGCAACTTTAATTCAGCAACACTCAGTGGACATATCGTCCTTGTTTTCACGAAGTGACGGTAGTGAGGAAAATCGTAACGCAAAGTGAATGCAATTTTTTTTCACTACCGTCACTTTGTGAAAACAGCGACGATATGTAGTTACATGCACAGTATATGCACATGTATACTTTAAAGGGGAAGTCCACCCTCATATTAAAGTGGGTTTCAATTAAAAAAGAAATGTGAGAGAAACAAATCAGTTAAAGTTAGAGCAAATTCTGATTAAATAATAGGAAAGTTACGAATATCCGAAGTTGTCATCAGTTAAACACAAATTAGCAACACGATGACGTATCTTGCGAGCTTCTCTCCAATTTGCTCTGTACAGAAAATCTCATGAATTTAAATTTTCTTAGTTATTGATGTTGGAATAGATTTTTTTCATACAGAGCTTGTATAAAAAAAAAAAATTGCATACATTATATTTAGGGTGAATGTATTAGTATAGGGCAGATGAGAGGGGAGCTCGTAATATGCCAATTTGTGTTTGATTGATCACACCTTCAAACATTTATATTTTTATTTTACTTAACTTTTTTGCTCGAACATTCACTTACTTGTTTCTCTTGTTTATCGGCTTCTATCAAAACCAACTTAAAACCAGGTTGGACTTTCCCTATAATGCATGGATTTGAGTGTGATGTACCATTAACACTTGGTTACTTTCTTCGCCTCTCTGCACAGTTGCTCATTTGCCACATGTGCAATTTTGCATAAAACAACAGGCAACACTTGACGGAAGGATAGCTTTAAAAATAACAGCTTTGCAAAATTACCCATTTTTGGTCTTGATTACCTCCATGGCAACCATTTCAACACTGGTATAGATTAACCTTGTACTAGAAACAGTTTGGAATATCTATGCCATATTATAAATACAAACCATTTTAAATATAATGTGGCACAGGGAGATTGTTGTGTTGCATATACAGAGTTAAGTTTGGATGTAAATGGAAAATAAGACACACACATGTGTAATTCAATTCAATTAATTCACATTTGAATATTTTTTATGACATTCATCATGATCATGCGTATCTACTTCTCTAAATTCTCTTTAAATTTAGCCATCACAATACCAACAAGTTCACTTACTTCTGTCACAAACTGCTCGCTCAAATGCTGGCTCACAACTGCAGCTCCCATCAACGTTACTGCAGTTAGCACCATCCACACATGTACAGTTCTTCATACAGTAATCTCCAAAAGTACCAGCAGGACAGACTGAAATAGTTGCAGTATATAGGAATAGTTAAACAGCAGCCCCTTTCTAAATATTTTTCCTCCATCTGACACACTCTAACAACAATCATTAAAATAGTATTTTTACTCTGCAATCAGACTACCAATCTCAATTACGATGGCCTTGAACGAAACATTCCCTTCACATCTTCTGAAAGATCCAGACAACCTTCATATTAATTGTGATTTGTCTTAATAAACATATTATTATTACCATCAGCAAACTGTATGCAATCAGCAGCAATATCATACTACCAGCTTTGCTTAATTTGTTTCATAAAGCATTTCTTTAGAAAAGGCCAGCAGGAATTCAAGAAATGCTATGTACACTTTAACTAAAAACTCTGTAGATATTAGCATTTCATTTCCCTAGAGAGAGGATGCAGATTTACTATCACACTATGCTAATTTTGTTATTCTCCTCCATATGACATGGCACACAAAGGGTTAAAAATAAATAAAAGAGAATTGGATTAGATCTTAGATATTAACAATAGCAAAAAATACAACTACATACTTTCTCCCGGCATACTCTTTGAAATATTCCTTTCAAATCATGAACTACTTTTGTTTGAATGCAGGATTTATAGTCACAAATTTGATCTGATATTTTTTTTGCACTGCAACTTTAAGTCATCAATCAAATGCACTTATCATGGTAAATCAAATGTGCTTTCAGCAACCTTAGTATAAACAATCCTACTCTTTTTATGTTTAGAAATAAAAGATTAAGCATTCTCATGTCACTCAACATCCCCTATATTTGCAAGTTCACATACTATTTTGACAATATGTTCCAATGAAGCCCGGAAGTCAAGTGCAGTTGTAATAGTCAGTGCCATCAAAGCAGGTTCCGTACACATTTGACAAAAAGGATTATGTGTATTTGTATTTGAATAACCCTTTCAGCATTCTAAAACAGCACAACAACAATTCTCCAACGCCGGGCATTTAGCAATAATTTCAAAGATCTTTAAGCAGTAATTTTTCTGCTACAGTTTAACTTCCAACAAACCTTGTTTAAATGATTACAATGAATAAACAGAAAATTGATAAGACTATAAAAAAAGAATATTCTGTAAAACAGCAATTGAAAATTGAAGCTTCGAGGCCCTGAACTTTTTTGAAGGTAACTTCTTGCTTTTCACATAAGTCCTCATGCATCTGAAATTTGAAAATTTTGTGAATCAAATTTATAATGCTGTTGTTAAGAGTACAAACAAACAGCTCATCTTAGAACTGCTTTTTAATGCCATTAAACAAATATAATTGGATCATTTAACAAAGATTCTAGGGTGGTACAGAAAGAGACGATTAAATATTATCTGAGTGAAATAATAGAAGTACTAATAATTGAGTATAGATTTAGCCTTGGTTTCTTTAAAATCACGCGTTGTCATTTACTGGTATAAAACCCAGTACATAGTGTTTATCTAAAAGTAAACTTTGCTCAAATGTACCACATACATACATGATTATTATTTGGTACACAGGTTTTATTCTTCAATAAAAAGATGATATTTTTGCCATGGCCAGATGTGAATTAGTAAATCATCATGAAAAATGTTTCTACTGAATATGTGATGGTATCAAAATAATCATGAATGAGGACTAGTTGTGTGCAAATATTCATAAGATCTGCACTATACAGAACTTTATAAAATTTCCCAAAATGACACGGTTGCCTGTAGAGTTGGAATAATGATTGTCTTACCTCTTTAAAACAATGCCTGTGACAATCTGGTTATTCTTGATAAAGTTCACATCTCCGCAGAACTTTATATGTTAATCTAAAGAGTCATATAGATTGATTAATAAAGTTCGGAGATGATATAAACTTTATCTATCAAGATAAAGTCATATTGTCACAGTCAATAATATTCATGAAAGGAGTTATGGACAATATATTCCAACTATATGGGCAACAGTGCAGCCATATCATGATTTTGGAATTATTATTTTGGGTGGAATTGGTACAAACCCTCTGCGCAATTTCTCCCTGTCCATCCAGGCATGCAGAAATATGTGTAGGTAGCATTACCGGGATTCATTAAGTGGTTTGTGCAGTTCACTTCATTGACACATGGGTTAGGGAAACATGCATTAATGTCTTTAGAGCAGGGCAAACAATATCACAGCCACAAAAGAAGATACAACAAAAACTAATCAAAATCATGCAAACTAAAATGTTTTCTATTACCTGCGAGCTTTATATATTGTTAAGTGCAATTTGTTTATGTTTTACAAGTTGGGCCTAGCTTTTTCGAATGCCAAACCCATAGTTTGGGATTCTTGCATATGTTTGCACTAGTCAGATTGGACTACATAAATCATTGTGCAAAATGTGTTTTTGCTTAATATAATGGGTGGTATCAAAATGAATATAAAATCAAAATAGTGTGCAAATATGCTTAACATTAGCATTTTAAATGAACAATTTTTTTTTTTTTTGGGGGGGGGGGGTGGGGCTCTAGTAGATGAAAACTGACAACTTCATCTCTAAGAATTTTTTCTTTTAAAAGTCTCTTCTATTATAAATTTTAACTGTTTGATAAATGATTAGTTTTCTCTTGATATCTTTTCATTGGGTATTACTTAAGAAACTTCACAAATAATTTCATTTTGGACCAAGACAAGGCAGAGGAATACTTGTGAGGAATCAAAATATACATGATCCATTGTGTTATGCATGCAAAACAACACTAACAAACTGCACAATTCATACTTTTGTCAGTAACTCTAAATATTTGTAAATAATAAATCTCAATAAGTTGGTACCAGTTTTAGTATTTCTATACCTACGGTTATCAAGAGGAAAGATACCCGCTTGCAGCATTCAGATATAAGCATTTTGTACTTTTGAACTAAACAAATTGTTAAACTAAATTACTAGTTAGATTTATCAAATACATTGTTCATGTCATGCTCAACTGAGATATATTTCACCTAATTTCGAGTTAAAAAGAATAACAAAAATGACATAGCTCTCACAAGTCCTCTGAGAATTTTTTAAAAAACTGCAAACTTCGTAGTTCAAAGAGTGATAGTTCTGTCTACAAGATCAGCAGATAAACGAAATCTAAGAATGTTTATAATATACTGAACACAATTCCTTTTACATAATTCTACCTATGACGTAAAAACATACGATCAATATAAACAAACAAAAAACTAGAAATATCACAATCTGTATTCCCGCGCAATGCGAATGTACCCCCGGCAGTGGCAGCGATTGTGTGTCATCCTTATGTTCGAAGGAGGGGCAAAGATTCCCTCTCCCCTCCCTGAGACAAAAGGATGACGTAGAGATCGCAACTAGTGGCTCGGACTAATGTCAAGACTAGGAGCAGCAAAACAATATGTGTGTAGATTAGAGTATAATGCATCTCTGTAGAAAATTTGAAAGAAATATTTCAAGAAATGTGGCAGTGAGAGCGCACAAAAGACAACCACCACAATATGACCTTTGACCCTATAACAGACGAAACACAGGTGGCAGCATCTACAAACACTAAAGATTAGTAGATTGTACTTTATAGACACACCTCGATCATACAACATTAGAAAGAAATCCGTCAAGAAATGTGTCAGAGCACATGAAAGACACTTGACTTTTGACCATATAACAGACGGAACAATGAGGGAAGCATTACCCAAAAGTGTAGTTGTGTAGATTAGAGTATAATGCATCTTTGCCGAAAATTTGAAAGAAATCTGTCAAGAAATGTGGCAGTTAGAGCGCATGAAAGATATGACCATTGACCATATAAACGACGGAACAATGAGGGCAGTATCATCCAAAAGGGCAGTATCACCCAAACGTGATAGTTGTGTAGACTGTAATAAGACATACCTCCGTACAAAATTTGAAAGAAATCCGTCATGAAATATGACCCACAGAGCGCACACTGGTGGCAGCATTATCAAAAAGAGTATAGGGGCGTAGAGTTTACCAACATACACCTTCATACTCAATTTGAAACAAATCTGTCAAGAAATGATGCAGTGAGACCGCACACTAGAGTGCACTCAAGACATCTATCAGAATATGACATTTGACCCTTTTAAAGATGGAACACTGAAGGCAGCATCACCAAAAGTTATAGGCTTGTAGATGATACCAAGATACACCTTCATTGAAAATTTGAACAAAATCCCTTAAGAAATGTGGCTTATAGAGCGCAAACAACCATCCACAAAAATATGGCCTTTTACCCTATAATACACGACACAATGGAGGCAGCATCACCAAAAGTTATAGCTGTGTAGAGTATACCAAGATACATCTCCATACACAATTTGAAAGAAATCCGTCAAGGAATGTGGCAGTTAGAGCGCACACAAGAATATGACGCGGTGGCGTAACGCTGCTGAATCCAAAGTACCCCACCGGCATACTGCCGAGGGATACAATAAAGCAGAGCAATTCAAACATTCATGCAGAACGAATTAAAAATCAATTTGACATGAGTCATGCATGAGTCAAAGAATAAATCAGTCACCACACTGCTCTATTAAGATAACATGGTACATAGAAATATAAATACATATCTCAGTTTCCTTCATATATGCACCTGATACATACATGTCCTATTACATTTTATCTACCCATGTGTATATTGCTTTTCCTTCATGCTTTTTCTGGGGGACTCCTGTAAGAATAATCCCTCTTATTTCAAGAGTGCTTCCACTACAGGCTTCAGCTCTTAGGTATTCTGAAGAAGTGTATTTTTGAAACGAATAACTAAGCTGCATGATATGTTACCAAATTCACAGTGAGTTCCGTTGAATCCATCTGGACATAAACATGTGTATCCATTGACCAAGTCCATGCAGTTCCCTCCATTTATACAGGGGTTGCTCGAACACTCATTAATATCTGGACCAAAAGAGAGGGGAAAATGATGTTAGCTGGGTTGGCTTCATATCTTATCCTACTTGTTTGTATGTTAATAGCCAATTAAATATACTAAAGAATATATCAAGCCCTGTAGATGCCATCATTCATACCAGTTCTAAGGAAATCTTGAGAGTGCCGGGAATGACTAAGACATAAAATCTAACGCATCTAAACTCAACACTGTCCTGAACATTTCAGACTACAAATATTGTACGAAAGCTTTATAAATGCAGTGAAAAAGTTTATAATAGCTGAGAAGTGAGCATAGAAACATTAGAAAAATAAAGGTAGATATCTAACTTGGCGAATATTTGACCATGCGGTGGATTAAGTGAATATCTTCTCCTGCACATTTTTAATTACACTTTGTTTGTCCAAGGAACGTCTCTACTGCTTAGTAGGTGTTCAGAATGATTTTAAGCCAGTTATTTGTATGCGCCTTGAGAACCTCTAGAGATAGATATGTTGCGCTTTATAAATATTGTTATTATTATTTTTATTATTAATGAAATTAAGACCCCGTTTGCAGTGAGCAAAGAGGCTGGGCCGGGCCGGGCCGAGCCGCGGCCAGGCCTAGCACTGTAAACGTGCAAAAGGCCAAATGCGAGGACAAACTGGCCGCGCGTTTGGCCCTGCTCTGGAGGTAGTCTAAATGCAAGGCCAACTGTTACCCCGGAAGTGAAAGTTCGCCGTGTATAGAAAATGATATGTTACCAAATTCACAGTGAGTTCCGATGAATCCATCTGGGCATGAACATGTGTATCCATTGACCAAGTCCTTGCAGTTCCCTCCATTCATACAGGGGTTGCTCGAACACTCATTGATATCTGGACCAAAAGAGAGGGGAAAATGATGTTAGCTGGGTTGGCTTCATATCTTATCCTACTTGTTTGTATGTTAATAGCCAATTAAATATACGAAAGAATATATCAAGCCCTGCAGATGCCATCATTCTTACCAGTTATAAGGGAATCCTGAGAGTGCCGGGAATGACTTAGACATAAAATCTAACGCATTTAAACTCAACACTGTCCTGAAAATTTCAGGCTACAAATATTGTACAAAAGCTATATAAATGCAGTGAAAAAGTTTATAATAGCTGAGAAGTGAGCATAGAAAAATTAGAAAAATAAAGGTAGATATCTAACCTGGCGAATATTTGACCATGCGGTGGATGAAGTGAACATCTTCTCCTGCACATTTTTAACTACACTTTGTTTGTCCAAGGAACGTCTCTACTGCTTAGTGTTCAGAATGATTTTAAGCCAGTTATATGTATGCGCCTTGAGCATCTCTAGAGATAGATATGTTGCGCTTTATAAATATTGTTATTATTATTTTTATTATTAATGAAATTAAGACCCCGTTTGCAGTGAGCAAAAAGACCGGGCCGGGCCGAGCCGCGGCCAGGCCTAGCACTGTAAATGCGCAAAAGGCCAAATGCGAGGCCAAACTGGCCGCGCATTTGGCCCTGCTCTGGAGGTAGTCTAAATGCACGGCCAACTGTTACCCCGGAAGTGAAAGTTCGCCGTGTATAGAAAATGATATGTTACCAAATTCACAGTGAGTTCCGATGAATCCATCTGGACATGAACATGTGTATCCATCGACCAAGTCCATGCAGTTCCCTCCATTCATACAGGGGTTGCTCGAACACTCATTGATATCTGGACCAAAAGAGAGGGGAAAATGATGTTAGCTGGGTTGGCTTCATATCTTATCCTACTTGTTTGTATGTTAATAGCCAATTAAAAATACGAAAGAATATATCACGCCCTGCAGATGCCATCATTCATACCAGTTATAAGGGAATCCTGAGAGTGCCGGGAATGACTAACACATAAAATCTAACGCATTTAAACTCAACATTGTTCTAAACATTTCAGACTACAAATATTGTACAAAAGCTTTATAAATGCAGTGAAAAAGTTTATAATAGCTGAGAAGTGAGCATAGAAAAATTAGAAAAATAAAGGTAGATATCTAACCTGGCGAATATTTGACCATGCGGTGGATTAAGTGAACATCTTCTCCTGCACATTTTTGATTACACTTTGTCCAAGGTACGTCTCTACTGCTTAGTCAGTGTTCAGAGTGATTTTAAGCCAGTTATTTGTATGCGCCTTGAGCATCTCTAGAGATAGATATGTTGCTCTTTATAAATATTGTTATTATTATTTTTATTATTAATGAAATTAAGACCCCGTTTGCAGTGAGCAAAAAGGCCGGGCCGGGCCGGGCCGAGCCGCGGCCAGGCCTAGCACTGTAAACGCGCAAAAGGCCAAATGCGAGGCCAATTGTTACCCCGGAAGTGAAACTTCGCCGTGTATAGAAAATGATATGTTACCAAATTCACAGTGAGTTCCGATGAATCCATCTAGACATGAACATGTGTATCCATTGACAAAGTCCATGCAGTTCCCTCCATTTATACAGGGGTTGCTCGAACACTCATTGGTATCTGGACCAAAAGAGACGGAAAAATGATGTTAGCTGGGTTGGCTTCATATCTTATCCTACTTGTTTGTATGTTAATAGCCAATTAAATATACGAAAGAATATATCAAGCCCTGCAGATGCCATCATTCATACCAGTTCTAAAGGAATCCTGAGAGTGCCGGGAATGACTAAGACATAAAATCTAACGCATTTAAACTCAACACTGTCCTGAACATTTCAGACTACAAATATTGTACAAAAGCTATATAAATGCAGTGAAAAAGTTTATAATAGCTGAGAAGTGAGCATAGAAAAATTAAAAAAATAAAGGTAGATATCTAACCTGGCGAATATTTGAACATGCGGTGGATTAAGTGAATATCTTCTGCAAATGTTTAACTACACTTTGTTTGTCCAAGGAACCTCTCTACTGCTTAGTGTTCAGAATGATTTTAAGCCAGTTATTTGTATGCGCCTTGAGCATCTCTAGAGATAGATATGTTGCGCTTTATAAATATTGTTATTATTATTTTTATTATTAATGAAATTAAGACCCCGTTTGCAGTGAGCAAAAAGGCCGGGCCGGGCCAAGCCGCGGCCAGGCCTAGCACTGTAAATGCGCAAAAGGCCAAATGCGAGGCCAAACTGGCCGCGCATTTGGCCCTGCTCTGGAGGTAGTCTAAATGCGCGGCCAACTGTTACCCCGGAATTGAAAGTTCGCCGTGTATAGGAAATTGGGGAAAGAATTCACTGCAATTCGCGCGCGACCGGATCTGCACTGTGACTCCCGGCGCGACCCCCAAATAATCGTTTGTTTACATTCAGAGCGCCACTCTGACAAAATATTGAAAGGTTACAATATAGGCCGCGGTCGAGCCTGCCACTGTGAACGCACATAATCGCGGAGCCGAGTAGTCCTGGCTCGGCCGCGGCCCGGCCCGTCCATGGCCCTTTTCTCACTGTAAACGGGGTATAAGTTTCATTGACCAGATAATCTTTATGAGGTTATCTGTAAAACTCGATGTAAACACACCAAACAGGTCCCTAATACACTAATGCACGTATATGCAAACAGTTATTACACATGTGGGTGAAAATGTTGTTTTTGTCGAAATCAAATCAATAACTTTGGATTGCTATAACTTTTTATTGAAAAGATATATAAACCTCTACCTCGCACAGGATATTGTCGTTGTACATAAGCTTATTCCTGGAAAGTAATGAAAAAATGCAATTTTCCAATTTTGATATATGGAAAATAATGTTTTTGGATAAAAAAAAAAAAAAAAAAATTCAAAACAAAAATCACAAAAACCATCTTTTTTACTTAAATTTGCGATGTTAATTAATCCCAAATTCTTTGAAATTGATATCAAAATGATAATTTAACTCTCTTCCACATGACACCAAACTCATGGTGGTTGAAGGTTTCCTTAAAATATTATTTACACAATACTATTTTGTCGTCAAAAGGGACACTTTTTGGTGGGGGCGTCCCCCTGGTCACACCCACCACTTACAACATGCCAGACGGTCAATTTGTTATGTGGAGCTATGCGATCTTTACATCTGTGCACATGAAAATTGGTTTCCTTCCCAGCTAGGTTGACCCCCACTGGCTCCCGGTCTAGGACCCCCCAGGAAATGAAGGAGGGGTTTGAAAATTTGAACCCCATCATGTTTGCCCAATTGGGACCCTTTCGAAGCCAAAACAGCAACACAAAAAAATCAACTTTGGCACAAAAATCCTACGGGATTACATACCATACCGCACCAGTGGTCACTGTTTACCATTTCCTTTGCTTAGCCTTAAATTGACGGATTACATAATAGACAAAGAGCCACACAGAAGACTGATACATGTATAAGATAAATAGCGAAAAAGGAATAAGGAATGAGGAATAAGGAATATATACAGTACAGCATATAGTAGAAAAAATATCTCTATTTTCTTGTACTGCAAAAGCACACTATCTTTGTAACGATAAACATGCCATGTGAATTTCCGGTGGATCAATACATAGTTGTATTTCTAGATAGAAAATGAAACCAGCTACAAATGTACATGAAACACCGTTATGAGGAACTGGCAGCTCCAGAGGTTGCGTGTGTTGCGTGTATCCTTGGTTCTCCCATAGCGTTGAACTGCTGATAGAAATGGATTTTTTTTTAAACTGCTTTTTATATACACCAAAGACTAGACAGAGTATATCAGAACCAACGTGCCCAAAACCTTCAAATGTTTCAAATGTCATACCAACACATATCGTTGTGCTACCAGTTTGATGTTCATAGCCAGTTTTACACATGCAGTTGAAGCTTCCTACTGTGTTCATACAAACAAACTTGTGGTGTCATCACACGAGCTGGCAACAAGGCATTCATTAATATCTGCTCAAAATCATGAATTTGAACAAATTCGAGGAAGAGCATTGGATGCAAATAAGCACCACTCCATCTAATCTACACAAACATCTTCCTTTAGAAATAAAAACTTGGAGATTATTTGATCAATGACCTGACATGACCTTTGACATTACCACCCTATCTCAAGGTACAATAATGTCTTCTTTGTTTGTTTATTGAAAACCCATCAAATATACAACAGGATATCACCAGCCCTGCAGATGCCATCCTTCATACCAGTTCACGAGTGCCGACAAATGCAGACAACAAACATCAGTAGACACATAAACATACCTTCCTGTACATGTATGTAAAGTCAATACAAGCAAAGTGCATATCAATCACAATATCAGCATATCAAATACAAGTAAAATATATTGAAATAAAACTATCATATCAATACCTTATGCAGATAGCAGATATCTAAATATGAAAATATTCTCCTGCTGCCTTTTGTTAAGGTGTTATAGTTCCCCTCTAGCTATTTTCTTTAGTAACATTGAGACACATTTCACACAAACGGATGTGTACCGGTATATACAAATTTGGTATAAAAATATCATACTAGAACAAGCTGGGTAGTTTGGTGGATCAATCTGGAATCCAGGATTGCAGGTGCAGATGTACCTTCCAGGCGTGTTGGGTCACCTTTCTATAAAGTACCGAAGTGCTAACGTCCTATTTGCCCATCAAAATCTAGGATACTGATTCCAAACTACAGAGCCTGAGCATGAGGTTCACCACAAAGTAATTCAAGCAGTGGGCTGGATCAGTGTTTGGCGCTGATGTGACCACCACACCACCGTTAAGCACAGAATTGTTTGGAACCTGCAACTTTGACAACTCTGTATGATGTCACACTTTGGTACTCTATACAAGTGGTTGCTACAGCAGGTTTTATTATGTATCATAATGTAGCGTACCAATATAATATAAAAATAGAATGACCTGCCGAAATATAGTCTTTAACCACACTTGACTGTAGACAAACAAAAAACATTGACTAATGAATTCTCTTATTCTCTTATTAATACATATGCTGCAATCACAGTTATACACCTTTAGGTCAGTCAGGAATCCCATTACTTTTAAAAGCCGATCGCCTGTCTGATTATCAAGAAAATTATGATTGAAAATTGAAATTTCATTTTCGTTTACCTAACGGTTTTTATAACACCACAGTCTATTGGTGAAAATGAGTATGGTAAAACCGGTCACTCAAAGATTTTTACTTTTTTGAGGCACTTCGTGATCATTTTGAAGCGCAATTTGTATTATTAGGGCTTCAATATTAAACCATATCACAAACACTGATATCACGTAGGGCCATGCATCTCAGATTTAACATTGTTAAGCGATGCCTTTAAAGTTTAATATGAATTTCAACGATAATTTGATCATGTATAACTCTTCTTAAATGAAGAAAATAGAATTGAAGGTCATAGCACGTAACTCAACCCTTCAATTTTACAGGAGGGCTGTTTGGGGGTAATACAGATAGCAAATGTCATTGCACCCGAATACCAATATGTTATTTTAAATTGCATAGAGGTGTGCGCTAGACAGGCGACTCTCTCTGCCTCTCTCTCTTTCATTAAATTTACTTGTGTTCTATGTAACTGTTACCTTATAATTTTGTTTAAAAATGTATCTGTATATGTCACAGAAGCTGCTAGACAACTACTGAGCGATATGTTTTGAATGTTATCAGAATTTGTATTTTTACCTGTGCTTTACACTTAAGGCTGGTTTTTACATGCTGCCATACTGTATTTGTTGCTTTTCAGTGCAGTTGACTATTCAAAGTCACCCATTCATGTCATTCTTTCATTTGATATTCATGAATGTGCCCTGGTATAACAATTGACATAGCTAGATATGTCACATTTGTTCTGATCGCTGCATTGACCAGTACTTCTGTTGCTAAATGCCATGTAGTAGTACAGTATAAAAGTTGTAGTCTAATGTCACCATCTATGAAAGTCATTGGATCATGCATGTTGTAATATTCAAACACTGCTTTTAGATTAACAATACTTATGTCCGGTGATGTCAGTTCTAATCCTGGACCCCTCACTTCTGAGGATTATAGAACATCACTCCCAGATAAAGAACTTTCATTCATAATGAAAACCATGAATCTTATACTATACTTGATCTTTTGCAATTAAATGTCTTGCTCATTGACTAAAAAATGGCATTCCCTTCCCCCCAATTTTACGCGGAAAAGAATCACTAGCCTAGGAATATTAGTCGTAACCCATAATTCAGGAAGAGAGCCCATAGGAGTAAAAGGGGAGGCCGAAGAAAACAATGTAAAATTCATGTGCTCCTTTCTCAGGTTGGTCTAAACGACAAACCTTATGTGCGAGGAATTAATCACGTCAACTAAATTGTTATGAAAACCAATAACAAAAAGATATATGGGTCTTGTTTAAAGATATGTTTGTGGAATGCTCACTCTGTACGTAATAAGACCTTCCTACTCCATGATTCAATTTTCACTTCTCAGGTGCTCTGCTCTTTCACTCCATAACTGTCCTGCCTTAGACTTAAAAAAAAACTATATTGTTGTCGTTTTTCATAAATTAACTACTTTTGTAAATAGTTCAACTTAAAAATCTAACGTAGCTCTTTTGTACTTTAAGCATCATAAGAAATAAATACAGATTGTGAATCCGATTTTTGTTTTTATTGTAACCGTTTAAATCTGTGCTAAGCTCACATAAGGATACCCCTCCCATACTCATCCGTTTTATATTGATAATTTACTTGTTTGCAGATTTATCTTTAATATTACATCTACTTATATACATATATAGATTAAAGCAACTATAGTAGTTTCTCCTATAATGTGACTTCCCGATACAAATAATTTGTCGGACAAACATAAAAGATCATTTAGCTACAGAGAAAAAACGTTTTTCTAACTTACTTTCTGAGTAACAAATAGTGCCTGCATCTTGCCCTGCACCAAATCCGCAGTCCTGAACTTGAATCCCTGAATGGGCGCAGTCTGCAAGGTTATCTTCTGTTCCGTCACACCCGACATCATCTAGAAGAACATCCCCTGAACCTTCACCTATCCGTGCTAATCCCGGTGCGTCCGAGGCTCCATCAAACCCCAGCATTCTACAAACCACCCTCGCGTCTCTCAGATCCCAGTTATAAGGACAGATAGTTCCCCAGGATCCATCGTGCATAAGTTCTACTCTGCCTTCAGCATCGTTGGATCCACCGACAAGACGAACTTGAAATGGCTGAGGATGGGCTAAGGAAAACAAGTATCTTTTCTATTTCACATTTTGCGAATTTTTAAGAAATAAACCTAAGGATTTGCCTAAACCATTCATGGAAATTAGTTTATGGGTACAATTCCAACAATTTAATGATTTCTCTATGTACTGGAGGCATGCAAAAAACACGATACAGTTGTCATTCCCATATATCATCTCATTGGAAAGAATTTGCTAATATATCCAAAGGGAAACTAGACATCAACTTCAATGTCAATTCACTGGATATCTGGTCGAAATTAAAACTTTATATATCAGTTGTAAGAGTTTTCCTATTCCATTGTCGGAAAAAGAATATCAAAAGCACTCGACTAAATATAACTAATCTAAATAAAATGCAATAATATCAAATTAACTGCCAGGTTGTCTTCTGTTCCTTCACAGTTGACATCCTCTAGCAGAATACGACCAGAGCCCTGACCAAACCTAGCAGATCTCGGTGCGTCCAAGGCTTCATCAAACCCCAATATTCTACAAACCACCCTCGCGTCTCTAAGATCCCAGTCACCATCACAGATAGTTCCCAAGGACCCACCATGCAAAACCTCTACTCTGCCTTCAGCTTCGTTAGACCCACCGCTAAGACGAACACGGAATGGACTTGGATGGACTACGCGTGAATAGGAAAGACATATATACCGCATTTGGGATCGTATGTTGGCAAACCACTGACAAGACAAACTTCAAACGGTTCTGTGGGGGGGGGGGGGGGAAGGTTGTGGTTTTTTAGCCTACAATCCTCAAGAGCAAAAACCAATTGGAGTCCCGAATAAATGTGGATAGTGACAAAGAAATAAGTTAATACAGCCCATATTTCTTAAAAAATTAAGATAATTGTTGCTTTCAAATCGTTCATGAAACGTAAACAAGATCCCCGAAGGCTTGCTCAGACACGGCGCGTAAATGAGTGGCAACAAGGGACACACCTTACGTCAAATATATACGTATGTATTTTTTTTTAACGCCACGGTTATCTCGCGTCTTGTCTGAACGAGCATTTAGTGTCAGTGAAAGATGAAAAAGTTGTTGTTGTGAAGCCACCGATCAGACGTACCCGAATGGATTCGGGTGGGCTTATTAAAAAAGAAAACGTGTATAAACTAACGCGAATGAAATGAACATCTACTCATACGTACGGGTTCTTAAAGGCAATACGACATCCTGAAAGTGAACATTAACAAAAATGCCTGGAAAAATTGTCAAAGTAAAAGGCAGTCATAAAATGTGACCTTCACTGAAGACCTTCACTATCAACAGAAACGTTAGATTTTAGATATTAGTTATTTATTCTGTGGTAATATTGGGGGAAGTAAATTTATGACCTTATAAGCTCAAAGCATTGGTTGTTTGTTATTTTTAGCCATTTAAACAATATATCAATACAAATTACGACTAGTCGTTCCCTCATGTTCAAAAGAGTTCGTACTTCCTATGTAACACACGGCGCCCGCATCCCTGTGATGCCCACAGAAAGAGTCGACCACACTGAAACAGTCGTCCAGGCTGTCTTCTGTTCCCGAACAGCTGACGAAAAGAATACCACCAGAACCCTGACCAAACCTAGCCGATCGTGGCGCGTCCAGAGCACTGACGAACCCCATCATTCTACATACTACCCTTGCTTGGAACAGATTCCAGAAGTGATTGCCACATACGGTCATCCACGATCCCTTGAACAAGACCTCGACTCTTCCTTCAGCATAGTTTGATCCATTGGCGAGACGTACATCTATGGAGTAGAATGTCGATAACTTTGACTACTGATGTTTGCTATTTTATTTTCTAGAGGCACAGTGTAGCGCTACCAGAATAGTTTCCTTGCTTAGAAAGAGCGTATTAATCACCTCTATTCTATAAAAATAAAAAAAAACTTCATAGCCACAGACGCGTTAGCCAATTATTCCGAAACAAGGAAAAATGAAAAGAGATTAAATCATGATTATTTTTCCCAACGGTAAGTGAGATGACTCAAATTTAGGAAATTAACAATTCACAAATTGTCCTGTATTTATAAATTTAAAGTGGCAATATCTTACAAGGGTCCTTTTCTAGGCGTTTGTTTTATAACGTTCACATATTTCAGTATTGGAGCAATGGGTCGAATACGTATAACTAGCATTTGCTTAGGCTACTAATGAAAGTGAAAGGTATCAGATACCCCATTTAAAACCCGGGTCGAGAAGACTTGAATCTAAAATCTATACGTAGATGTCTTGCTTTTGAAGTAACGTAGTGTCGAACTTTGCGTTTCCGGTCAAGTGTTTGAACTACCCGTCCTCTACTAAGCTTTTGCAACTCTGGGGATCTACTCGATTGGAAGTAAACTTGATGCTCTTTCTCTTTCACTTGTCCTTGCTAACCATGGCCTTAATTTTGTTTCAATCCTTGAAAAGGCAATAGGTCTATGAAATTGTATTATCATTGATGGAAGAATTCATTGTTATGCAAATAATACTCAAAATATTTATTTAAAAAATAGTATCTATGATTTTCATTGCAATTCAAAGCAACGGAGCTAAAATAAGCTCCAACATTAAAGAAAAGTATGAAGTTTATTTTTTCACTTTCGAAGTACAATTTAGCGAACCTGTATTAATTACATTTGCGTTTACAATTTACAATTAGCGTTCGACTTCTTTGCTTATCTTAAGGAACATTGGATATGACACATGTTTTCGATTAATCTACGTTGTAACATTTCAGAGTCGTTATCCATCTGAATCTTCAACGCAAACAATTCATAATGTTACCATATCACCTGATCTATATATTTCTTAATCTGTATTGCGCAAAAGTCATCACACAGGACTAATTATGATATTAGTATTGATATCAAAAGTCCTATTTTGGTATGATCGAGAAGCATTAATCAAGCTGACATTAGTCTGTTTTTTAAATTATTTTTTACCAAACTCAATACACGGACTCATTAGAATACATATATAACTCCCCAATGTAGCAAACTTCTTTCATAATATAAAATCGATTAAGGTGCAATAAAGATTCCTATAAAAGCTGTAGGCTTTCGTCATGGTGACGTTAGATTGCGTCTTTCGGATGGTGACGTTAAAGGTCAGTCCCCAGACGTAAATATTATCATATCTGATAGCTGTAGAAACCCTATTGCACACACACACACACACAGTAAAATGTGGGTCAACATCCAACGGGACACATGCAGAAAGCTTGTTGACACTTTATACAGGAACCGCCATTAGGCAAGCATTAATCTATTGACTATTATACGAAAAGACATAACCTAGCTGGTATGAATAATATTGAACATGGCATTTTTTGAAAATCAATGAATAAAGTACCCCTGAAATTTAGTATTTTTTGGAGTGTCACTTCTTTTCTTTCACTTGCTTGTCACAAATAAGTCATATATATGTTTGACAAAACTCATTGATTTCGTCACAAAAGTAAAAATTCACAAATAATTGCGAGGAGATTAATAATTTTGAGGACAGCTGGAGATTTTTAATCGTCATCTTTATTGGTAGTTCTGTGGGCTTTAAAGTCCCACTGTACTACTTGTAGCTACTTGCTTTCTCTATATAGCAAACAAAGTGTAAGCGGTGCCGGTTGGTCCCCGTGATCCTCTTTTTCTTATGTTAATTGAGAGCAGAGTTGATGAGATAGCTACCTGTCAGTGACCACGCCGGATGGTCTAATCCTTCCTGGCCAAACAAGTACATACGGGCTTAAAATGTATTTTTTAAACGAAACTTACCCGTGATTCTCGTTGCAACCACCCTGCATACGCTCAATTCTGCTGTAAGTATACATAACAGATACATACACTTTATTTCAATCATCCCCATCCTGTTCAGAAATAAGAAACAACTTGACTGAAGTGAAATTCTCAGCGCAGTCTCCTAGCTGTCACAAAACAACAACTCGTGTTAGATTAAGTTAAGGTTCTCGTATCAAGAAGATATAGGACGCATGCGCAAATTTCTAACTCCCAGTTCGTTTAATTATCCCATAGAAATGTTAATTCCTATTGGTAAACATGACGGAAGCAAACCCACTTATTTATTTTTGTATCAATCCGCAGTTACAATGAAATTTATCACATGATGTGTTCTTTATCATTATTTTTTGATGAGTTGATACTACTCCTATCCAATATCTAGTTTTATCATTTGAAACAAAGAAATCAAAAGCAGTGACATGTCGAATTTCAGTTTCTATATATTTGACGTTTGTCATCACGATAACAATACGTTGGATATTTTTCAAGTGAGATATGTCAATCACTCTTTGTTCCATAGTCCATGCCTGCCCACTCATATTTGTTTTTTGTTTTCATAATAATTATTATTATTATCATTATTTTTTTTTTTTTTACAGAATTCTATTTGTATCAATGATAGCATAATGTAACCTTTTCCTTGAATAGAGATAAGCATTTAATAATCCATTATTCTGTATGTTCCATTGAAAATTCATAATAGTCCGACAAAGAGTTTGCCATATGGCATGATTTGATGGTTTGATTTTATGAACCCGCCGCAGTAAAACGTGCCCTTAGTATCCGTATGTAATGATGTTTAACAGTGAAGGATAATGGAAGAATTATCTCAATATAGCCATGAGATCAAAAAACATGCTTTCCGGCAATAGGCCATTTGCGTAATGTTACCAAATTTAATGCAAAAGTCTTTGTGAAGTGCCTCAATACAAGTTATTTTATTAACCTGATAAGAATAATTAGTATTTCAATTGTCAGAATGCAAACTGCACATATTAAGTGTTGCTAGGTAGGTCAAGCCATAATGTTTGTCCAACCTGGTAACAACTAATGTATGTAGTCTATTGAAATACTATTATCCTTTTCAGGTGAATGAAATAATATGTATTGAGGCACTTCACAAAGACTTATGCATTCAATTTGGTTACATTACGCAAATGGCCTATTGCCGGAAAGCATGTTTTTTGATTTGCATAATTTGACTGGTGTAATTGCAATGAGAACAATTACAATGACTCACCATTATATGAAAACAAAAAGCGGAACACCAGTGGTATCGATTCCATATATTGCATATATCGTGTCGATAGCTCGTGCAGCCAGTGAACAAATAAACACTGTAATTGACCAATCAAATTGCAGTGATTCTTACCCAGGTTATACAAACTTATGATGCATAATATGTTTCTACTTTTTAGTTGGACGATAGGACATTACATAAAACTAAGTATGGGTATGGAAAGGGGTTTACGTGTCATGATGCCCTAGTGTTCTCACAAATGAAAATAAATTGATGAATAAGAGTGACTCTGCTCTTGTACATCTAGGGAGGGTGTGGGATAGGATTCCTGTTTTTAATCCTATTTAGTGGCCATATGTCAATATTGGTTATAGATTATCAGTTGATTATTGGACTCTACTTGATATACATACAGTATCAGATGTATATCAAGTAGACACCAGTAATCAAATGATTATTTATTCAGATTTTGCGTCTAAAAACTGAGTGATTTTTTTGGGGGTAGTTAATAAACCACATTCCAAAAGCATTCTAGAGTTACATATTGTGGTATCTTAAGAAGACGTGCTGCTTTCACCCAAGAGTGGTGGATATGGGAGGAAACCTTCCCCATTTCTAAAAACTATCTGAGGTTTGAGATCAACAAACTATTTTTGTATTATATTGATATGTTTTCACATACTATAAGAGTTTAAAACAATAATGTCTGACAAAATCGTTGTGAAAAAATACTGTATTTTACGAATATAATTCAAACGATTTTACAAAATATTTGAAACATTCGTACTCAAGTAATTATGAAATCAGTCGTATTGTATAGTGTGGCATCTTGTTTATTAATATTTTATCAATTATTCGTTGGTTACAGATCAAAATAAATAGTTACTTAATCTCGTTGTAGTTTATACAAGTATTTTTCAAAATGAACTATATTGATAATACTTTAGGACTTAATAACTTCTCCGTTGCTGTGTAGCGATTTATTATGATGTAGTCTATTTTTGCTTTCTATGACTATGAGTTAACTTAAAAGCTACAACTTTAAATTAATCTTGCATATAATACAATCATGAAAAACGATACAACTAATTCTTCTCGTGTATCACTTTTCAAGGTAATGTCTCTAACTGAGTACTTAAGCGTCTTCAGCCCTACATACTATGTCTTGATTCTATTTAATATATTTATGATTCATAACTTTATTATAGATGTATATCAGTTATACATACCAGGCATGAAATTATTTAGTGTGATGTGGTTTATCTTTAGCTCCAGCAAGATTAACTTTAGTACGCATTAGACAGTGCAAAAAAAGTAGTAACGTTGCACGTTCGTAGTACATATTGCATGCTCCGGCGTTCGAGTATAACAAAAAGTGTGAGCCGACAGCTTTAGAATTTCCTGAGTGATGTTATATTTTACCGAGGCTGCAGGAAGGATAACCCTGCCAAGGTTAGGATATATTGGCTCGAGGGACATTCCGATTTTGAAAGTGATTATATGTTATACTGAAAAACGCAATACATGCAATATTTGTTATATATATATAATTGAGGGTATTTGCTACCTTTTGCCTTGCTCCCTTTAGCTGTAATGTTGAACCTGGCTCGTATTCCATTCTATTATCTTTAGGACAAATACAAATGGAGTAATTGTAAAAATAGATCATTTAGATGAACAGAAGAGAATTACATATGATTATGAATAATCTGTGAGCATCTCTATTTACATACTGAATTAGTTCTAAAGTGATGATAGAGTCAATAGAGTACAGTAAATACCTATGTGACTTGCTATAACACGTCTATAACCAAAGAAGGAAAGCTATATGACTGATAGATTTCATTTGTTTCCCTTCTTGTACATTGACTGTAATGTCCCAACATTGTACTTCTATATGGTCGAGCAATTACACTCGTCAATTGTTTTACCATCTTTAAGTTACAGAAACGATTATTTCGGGTACAAATAGGCAGGAAAACACTACGATATTAAAAAAAAAACTGTGCAGAAAATTGTATTATATATTAGAAAAGCTGGTTGCTGAGATATTCATGCACAATTTTTTTACAAGTATTTCAGCGAAATGCTATCAATGTATATAAAGACAATAAACTTTTTTTTCTTCAGTCTACATGTGCAATTGCATTCTATTAACCTATACAACTAAAGAAATGCCCATAACCTTTTCTCCATTCATATATTTGTTCACTCCGACAATTTCAAACCCCGTTTATACATACGTCTGTCTTTATAAACAAACATTACTGTAAATTCCAATAAAAATATCAGTGAATGTCTTTATGCATAGTCTATACCTTTAACGACTGTAAGCATGAGTAAAGGTAAGAGAAATGTATATAAAATAGTGTACATGTACAGTACCATATAATTTATTAAAGGTATTTCTGGGATAACATTATCATAATTTAGATTGATCAGATACCTATCAAACAGAGAACCTTTTAGCAAGGATGTCATTGATTATGGAAGTATAATGATTTAAAAAGTATTAAAGATGAAAGGAAAGTGTTTAACCTCTATACATTCTTAAAAGGAAATGCTGTCAGTAACCAGGGAATCGGTTCGGAAATCTTCAAAGGTACATTAAAAAGACATCTCGTAAGTTAATTTTCCTTTTTTCATCAGACTGTCCATCTTCTGCTCTGCTTCTATTTATGACAGTTCAGTCTGTAGCATAGCACTTGGAAGAAGATACCCATCGAGGTCTGTGTCGTTTCCTGTTGCGGATGTTTGGTAAACAGTTTTCATATCCATGTACTTGTGTATCTCTTTCTTTACATGTGTCGTATCTTGCGGTAAGGGGATCGTCCCTTCTCCTCCAATACAACCGGTTTCCATGTTCGATTCCTTATCGTTATTTTCACGAGTTAGTTTATTTTTTACTGAATCATCATCACTTAACGAAGGTGTTGTGTTTGGAAGGAGGTATCCATCAAGGTCTATGTCCGTCCCCGTTTTCGGCTTTTGGTAAACTGTTTTCATTTGTATATAGTCATGTTTCACGTTTTCCTTTATGCCTTGAGACACATACCCATCAGGGGTTGTTTTCATGTCCATTATGCAACCAGAGTTTCTCTTATCTGATACCGAATTTGCATCGTTCAAAGGACTTTCTGTGTTTAAAAGGAGATATCCGTCTATGTCGAAGTCCTTATCAGTTTTCGGTGTTTGGTAACCCGTTTTCAAGTCCGCATATTCATGAATCACTTCTGAATCGCCACCATGACCATATTTGATATCTTTTATATTTGATTCATAATGGTGACCCAAAACATCACTCTTCCGTCTTTCAGGTAATTTGGGTGGTGCATTCAAGTCTTGGTAAGCAGAACCAGCTGACAGAGCGTGCATTGATGACATAGTCGTCACGTCCATATAAATTTCTGTGTTCAAATTACTATCAGCTATTCTCTTTTTAAACCTATAAATACAAAACCCAAGTGATGCGATCAAAATGCTGCTTGATAATAAAGTACCAAGTCCAATTAGAATCATCATTCGGAAATCAAGTAGTAGAATCGGGCCTGCAGTTGATTTAAAATTGTCAAATTTACTTGTCTTGAGCGGATGTCGAGTTGTGCTGAAGTGTTGTCTTTGCTTTCTTGTGGGAACTATAGTAGTTTCGTGTCCAATTTGCAAAAGCTTGGTTGTGTACGTAGAAGGTATTTCATCAGAGGTGATCATGTCCGAGTAAGTCGTCATATCTGGAATATGTTTCAAAACAATTATTTCTTTTTTTTTGTACCGATCAATATTAATGGAAAAAGAGATTAAAAAATAATGTTTCAAACCAGGCATATTTTTTAATCGTTTCATTTCTATACATTGCAAACAATGTATTTGTGTCATATTAAATTTCCCTATATGTCTTTTTACAAAGTCAGACCACAAAAGCTTTCATAAACCAGCATGTTCTCCCTTAAATAACGAGTAACAGACTAAAAAACAAGATGTATTTCAGGAAAGTTGTGTTTTGAACGCAAACTAAGTTTTCATAATGACGTTACCCGAGTGTTTGATTATCGTGAGTAAACATTTATTAGTTAGTCCTCTTCTTTTATTTGCGGACGATCTTTATCCTTTTGTTTGGGGCAAAAGGTCTTTTTATTGACGGCTTGATGACATTACCTGCATGTCTACATATGACACTGGCATCTTCTTTGTGTCCGCAATCATGGACTCCAATCCCTTTATGTTTGCAATCTTTGAGCTTGGTTTCCGTCCCATTGCACTGAACACCATCCAGAAAAATATCACCAGAACCTTTACCAAATCTTGCTTGGGGTAGAGCAGCTAAAGCCCCCTCAAATCCTAACTGCCGACACACAACCTTAGCGTCGTCTAGTTCCCACAAATCGTCGCATACAGTCCCCCAAGATCCTTCGTGTAGTATCTCAACTCTTCCTTCATATTCATGGGCTCCACCGACAAGTCGAGCTGTTTTAAATAACACAAAAAAGAGGAAATTCAGTGTTCTCGATTTTTTTTAAACATATGTATCATTATCCTTTTTTTCTTTACTTGTCTTTGCACCGCTTTGAGCTTGATTCGTAACTGCTTAGTATAGTGCGCTAGATGTCAGTTGTCCTGTTTACGAATATTTGATATTCGATAAAGCTGATAAAGCTATCCATATTCAACGTCATTGTGAGCAATGCATTCATATTTGGGTTCAAAATGTGTCAATGTGTGTCAAAATGTGTCAATTGTTTAGGTCACTTTAAATGGGTAGATGAACAATGATAAATGGATGTAATAAGCAGAATAGTGTAGTATTTTACCTCCTAAGAGGCACGTGACCCCAGCGTCTTCGTTATGTTGGCAGTTGTGCACTCCAAACCGTAGATGTACGCAGTCCGCAAGATTGTCTTCCGTTCCATTGCACCCGACATGAGACAGGAGAATGTCATCGGACCCCTCGCCAAACTGGGCTAAACCTGGTGCAGTCGAAGCGTCGACAAACCTTAACATTCTGCATACGACTTTTGCATCTTGCAAATCCCAGCCATCGTCGCAAACTGTTCCCCAGGTGCCGTTATATCTGATCTCCACTCTTCCTTCATAGCTATTCGATCCACCCACGAGCCGTACTCCCACAGAGTTTGGATGGGCTAAAAGGAAAATAAATTTACTTTCTTTTAGTATAGCCATAAAAAGTCATCCCCTATCTTTTTCTAGTTTAGTTGTTCATACGACTTTCGCATCTCGCAAATCACAGCCATCGTCGTAAACTGTTCCCCAGGTGCTGTTGTATTTGATCTTCACTCTTCTGGGTCATTCATTATTCTTTTCTAGTTCGGTTCATAAAATCGTATAGGTGTGCATCCAAAATGAGTCAATATTTTATTGGAGTTATAAAATCTTCTATCATATTCTTTCGTCTACCTCTTAGTGAAGACTTCCCTACTAGCAATTGCAATACAGGTTGACCTTGATTTAAAGTAGCCATCATTCCAATCAGACTCTAAAACAGATATTTAAAGATATAGGACCATAATACCAATAGGGCCCTTTGTATTATGACCACTAATTCATTGCATCTTTATCGCCTCGTGCAAACTGATATTATGTAACAACTGCCCAGCGACTATCCTGCGCGAATTTACTCAAACTAGCCTAATTGCTATAACTGGGGGTTGCCGTAAAGCATCTGAACCACAATCTTTCCAATAATATTAAGAGTCCACTCTTGCGCCTGACTATATCACAATGTGTGTATCCCTATTTTTGGACAGGGTAGACACCTACCTCCCATGTAACAGATGGCACCAGCATCCTCTCCATGTCTGCAGTAATTGACACCTATCCCAAGATGTGCACAGTCTGCAAGATTTTCCTCCGTCCCATCACAACCGACAAGATTAAGAAGTATATCCCAAGATCCCTGACCAAACCTTGCAGACGTTGTTGCGTCCAAAGCTCCATCAAACCCTAGCATTCTGCATACGACCCTCGCGTCTCTAAGATCCCAGCCATTATCACAGATAGTTCCCCAGGATCCATCGTACAAGACCTCCACTCTGCCTTCAGCATTGCTGGCTCCACCAACGAGCCTTATTCCGAAAGGATTTGGATGGGCTGAGGCAATGGAAGGCAGTAATTGGTAATTGAATGAAAATCAATGAAATGTGAATCAGCACGCAAAGTAAAATAAATGGCACAGAACGCTTGTGCTTATGCTCTTTATACGGCGATTGCAATAGACAAGTTTGGTTTGTTCGCTATGTGACTTCTGAAGCTATGATATTTGTCTATTCATTGATTACAGAAAAATGGAGGAAACACTAGAGGAGTGATTTACATTTTTCTTCTTGAACATATAATCATCTCAAGACTCTTTACGACCGTTATTAGTGGATGATAAGTGAACTCTTAATATAATGACATATCAGGATTGCATGTTACGGTTTAACATACCTCCATTGTAACAAATAGTGCTCGCATCTTCACCATGTCCACAGTTGTGAACTCGAATCCCTGAATGAGCACATTCTGCAAGGTTTTCTTCTGTTCCCTCACACCCGACATAAGCTAGAAGAATATCCCCTGAACCTTCACCAAACCTAGCAGATCCAGGTGCGTCCAAGGTTCCACTAAACCCCAGCATTCTACAAACCACCTTCGCGTCTCTAAGATCCCAGTTGTCATCACAGATAGTTCCCCAGGATCCATCGTGGATGAGTTCTACTCTGCCTTCAGCATCGTTAGACCCACCGACAAGACGGACTTGGAAAGGATTTGGATGGACTACAAGAGAATAAGAGCATAATAAATATATCTTTTAAAGATGATGTCATCACAAATTTCAACATACGTTGAATAGAAAAGTATGAGGGCAGTTTAACCTAGTCTGATCATCTTTCAGTTGCTATTGATTGCATGTAGGTATCCTATCAGTACTACCTAATCATTAACTCCATATTCAATGTGGAGTGTACGCGAGAAGTAAATTACCGCCATTTTGCAATTTCGTCCGATTACGTGTAGAAATAGGCAAACATATGAGAAAGTCTATTTCATACAAGGAAGGAATTCATTCTCATTTGTTATTGATTATACCATCCGTCAACGGAATATTCAACGGAATAATCTCTTTCTTCTTTACGGGTGGGGGCGAGGGGAACATCTTTTTTTTACATGATTATTATGTCAAATCCGTAACAATACCTGCCTCCATACATCATGACCAAATGAAAGCAAATTTTACAATATAATTGCTCTTTATTTATTCAAAGATTAAGCTCTTTAAATTTTTTTCTTGTTTATAACTATGGTTCGTCAAGTCTGCGTCACATATCCAACGGTCTCCGGCCGAATTCGTGAATCACCAGAACGTCGCCAGATTTCAAAATTGCTTTCGCTTGAAATCTACCCTGTCACATATTGGATGGGGCTCGGGAATAAAAGTGATCAGAAATTGCCCGATGCCCATCAGTTAACATCAGGAGTCGGGCGAAGCAAACTCGGCATAGGGGCAGTGATCGAGCAGTAATCGATGAGGCACCGGCCGTCAACGGATAGGTCCGTTTTGGATATGTGACGGCCCTTTTTAGAGGTCATATAAAGATTTTTAAAGTAACTTATAAAAACCATAATGTCAAGAAGCGTACTTCCTGAGTAGCAAATGGCTCCTGAGTCACTTGTATGACTGCATGGGTAAAGCCCAATCGCTGGATGAGCACAATCTGCTATATTGTCTTCAGTTCCCTCACAATTGACATACTTTAGCAGGATACGACCAGAGCCTTGACCAAACCGTGCAGATCCCGGGGCGTTCAAGGCTCCATCAAACCCCAGCATTCTACAAACTACACTCGCGTCTCTTAGATCCCACCAGTCATCACAGATAGTTCCCCAGGATCCATCGTGCGTAAGTTCTACTCTGCCTTCAGCATCGTTAGATCCATGGACAAGACGAACTTGAAATGGATTCGGATGTGCTAAAAATGAATTTTGAATAGAGTAATTCGTTTTTACTAGTGTAAGTATATAAATATTTACACACAGGTTCAGCTACTAAATTGTGGAAACTATTATCTTGTGAAAAAAATATATATTTCAGAATCATTATTTACGTTTGGATATCATTTATATAAAAAGTAAACACATTACATTTTATTTTTTACTACGAATATCTCTAATGAAATTAAATGAACCCTGGCAAAGCATATTTGCTATGCTATGCTATGCATATATATATATATATCGGTGTTGTAGTGCATTGGAATAAAGGCGCCTTGAGGCCCCCTTCTTGTTTACCTTATTGCCTTGGCTTTGGCCAAGGACTTTAAGGCATTATTAATCTTACTTTTTTCGGAAGAAAAATTCAAAAGTAGTTTGGTTGCTTTGTCTGATAACAGTTTGTTATGAAGACAATACCAATTGTACTTGCAGGTGAACATAATAGATCGAGTAAATTGTCCTACAAATCCTAAGAGAACAATACAATGTCCCTCCTGTGACAGAAGAAATGTCCTGATGTCAAATCATCCCTTTTTGTTTCCCTAGTTTGTCTACATGCATGTCAATACACATGCCTCTTTTGGTAGAAAGGTCTATATCTGTGTTTGTTTGCTTTGTTCACTGCTGATTCCACACCCCCCCCCCCCCCAACCAGTCAAGTACAAGTCAAATATGGCTTCAATTTATTATATTTTATGTCAAGTCTGACAAAAAGCGTCCCATCGAACTGAAAACATCCCCTTCCGACATAACATATGCCTTTCTAGAGCTAAAATTAACCCACAATACGCAAAATAGAGGGTCCGAAAAAAGCATCATATGCGCCACTAAAACGCAATGTAAAAGGCATTAGGAATTATTTTGTGAGATAATAAGAGCAACAATTTCTAAAGCTCGTTCGCAGTGCACCTTGTCATGACATAATTTCAGGATTTTGTAATTCTTACCCCGCTATTTAATGTAACTTATAAACATCTCGTTAAAGAGTTCAGATAAGAAAGAAAAAAGAGAATGTCATCGTCATTCCTTCGCTCCTTAAAATAAGTATTTGAGTCGCATCGGTCTAATATTAATACTTCTCCCCTAAAATAGGATAACATATGTAAAGTTTACAATGGCATGTGCAAATTGGCAACATTTGAAAGAAATCTAAACTTTGAAATGCTTTTTTAATTTCCTTGACAAGATTTATCCCGGTATTCGAAAATATCGTCTACTATTGATTATAATTCTAACTCTACACTGTTCGATTAAATTGCTCCCTTAAAAGTAATCATAGGTAAAATTCGTTAACTTACTTGAAATGTTTGGCCCCTATCAAGTTCAGATATAAGTGTGGGTTGAGGGAGATAATTTTTTTTAAAGGAATGCCATAATTCCTAGTTACACCATTGGTTGCTGTGCATCCTTGTATGAGACCTCTAATTCACTACCTTGGCATACCAAGTAAGACGCCTTAAATTGTACATTGGGCCTAACAGAAAATTTAAAAAAATAACAAATTAAGGAGGGCTTTAAAGCAGTGATACATTTTCTGATGATATAGGTTTTCCCGGCCAATTTCGTGAAAGCAGCAATCAATATCATTAACGTGCATTCATGTTCCAGCAAATTTTCTCCACTCGTTGCTCCCCTGTTTCAATTTCGCCAATGTTGAGTGGCAGGTGAATTCTTTGGCGAATTGCGGTTTCATTTTCGTCTATGGGCAACCTCCTTTGCAATCGGGTTATTCAAATTAAAACTAGACCTCATAATCATAGTATGAGGCTCGATGTTTATTCGGATATTCAGTATTTCATGTTCATTTATTTATTCTTTTTCTCTATGATCTTTTCTGAAATGATTTCACATTATACAATTTTCTTATTTGTCTGATATATTTATGTTACATTTCATGTTTTCTCTTTCTTTCGACATTCTTTATTTTGGTTGAAACATTCATTCATATCTTCATATATTTCATTATAAATGCCTTAGAGGTTATTTTTTTTAATGGTTTGTTTTGATCAATCTTGATTGATTAGGTGATCCTTCTTTCACCTTTTTCTTTATTCATGCTATTCCCCTAAGTAAACTTTACATAAAATTATTCAGACAGATGAATATTAAGAGAAAAATTAACATCAAATGAAAAGTAATGCACAAATAATATCACATGTGTATGCCTAATCACAAAATTGAATGCACGAAGACATACCACCGTTTGTCCGGCGCGAATTTGAATGCTTTTTGCACGCTTTTCTAAATTGAATGCTCGTTTTACACGTCTCCGTGACAAAAGTATGAAATACCGCGTGCTACTACATCAAATTGAATGACGCAATTAGCTTTTTGAATGATGATCTACATAGTCATTTAATTTCGCACGAACTTGAATGAACGTAACGTAAATTCTGATGATAAGTTTACGAAGTTGGGCGGGAAAACCTATATTACGTACAGTGCAAAATAGAATCAGGGGTTTCATACATGATTTATCAACAACATTTAAATTTAAGCTCATAATCAAGCTTTGTTAAAGGGAAAGTCCACCCCCAAAATAACTTTGTTTCGATAGAGGCAGAATAATAAGAAAATCAGGTGAGTGAAAGTTTGAGCAAATTCTGAATGAAAATAAGAAAGTTATGAATTATTGAAGTTGTGATCAATCAAATACAAATTGGCAACTCTGTGACTTATTATACGAGCTCTCCTTCATTTGCTTTGTGCATAATATTCCATAAAATCATGTTTTCTTCGTTATTGATGACGGAATATATATTTGTTCCTTGCAGGGGGAGTATAGAAACATATTTGCAATTATTATATTTGGGGTGCATGTATGGTTGAAATTTTTCTTGAGGGAAAATGAAAATTTTAGATTTTTTTTAGTACTGAGCAAATGGAAGTTGAGCTCGCATGATACGTCATAGAGTTGCCAATTTGTGTTTGATTGATCACAACTTCAAAAATCCTAACTTCCTTATTTTTAATCGGAATTTGCTCAAACTTTCACTGACTTGTTTCTCTCATTTTTCTACTCCTATTAAAACTAACTTAATTTCAGGGTGGACTTCCCCTTTAAAGATACAGGCCCATTCAATTAACATATGAGTGCTATATTAAAGTCCCTTTGTATACATTGGCTCGTTTCCCTTGCTCATCAGCTGTTTACATATATGTCCAGAAAATTGATAACGCATCTATAAGTGGTAGATACTGAAAAGGGGGTTGTGAAGCTGACAATTTGAAACACTTTTCCATTCCCCTCCCAACCCACCGAGAAAGAAATTACCAACCTTTCATTTGGTTATTTTGTTCATGATGGCATTGCCTACATTTATAACACATCATGTGTGGTATAGATAAGCCCGTGTTTTATTTTTCTTGTCATGTGAGTGTACATGTATACATCCGTCTTCGCACGTTTCATTTTCCCCAACTTTATTAATGATTTGTCCTTGGTTGTGGTCTCGGAGTTTGAAGCCTTGGCCTTGCTAGTAAACATGGTAAATGCATTTGCCTTTAGGGTTTTAGCGTTGACTACAACACTGATATATATATATATATATATATGGCGCATAATAAATGCTGTATTATTATTATTATTATTATTATTATATATATATATATATATGAATAATATGCAAGCAATTCACAGAGGTTGATTGGACATATGGCATGTTTAAAACATACCTCCTGAATAACAGATGGCGCCGGCATCGCGACCATGACTGCAAAAACTATAATCTCCACCCCCTGGATGAGCACAGTCTACCAGGTTATCTTCTGTTCCATCACAACTAACATAGGTCAGAAGAATACGACCAGATCCCTGACCAAACCTTGCAGATCCCGGTGCGTCTAAGGCTCCACCAAACCCAAGCATTCTGCAAACTACCCTCGCATCTCTCAGATCCCAGTTGTAATCACAGATAGTTCCCCAAGATCCACCGTTTAAGACTTCTACTCTTCCTTCAACGTCATTTGATCCACCAATCAGACGAGCTTGAACTGGGGTTGGGTGGGCTACAAGTGAATAGGAAAGACATATATACCTTGTTGGAATAGTATTTTAGCAAACGTCATAATAAATATTAGTAACAATTCATTGTTATTGTCCTGAAATTTGACGGAAAATTATTTGTAGTTAAAAATCCTAAAATCAGAGCATTTGTTCTCATAGTACTAAGGTATAAGAAAAGGTTAAACAATTTCTCATGATCCTCCAATTACACGCATTTTCTCTTTTTTAAAGTATGAAAAAAGAAAGTCCTGTTATAGGGGGGCTGAATTTTAGGAAGCATTTCGTCATTGGCACATCAAGTGAGATATAATATGGAGTTGTAAGTCACTAAGCTCTGGTTTTGTTTAATGTTTATCTAATAAGCATGCCATTGACAAAGTCGTTCTTTGGCGTTGACTACAACACTGATATATATATATGTATATATGTATATATAAATAATATGCAAGCAAAATATTCTGGAAGCAATTCACAGAGGTTGATTGGACATATGGCATGTTTAAAACATACCTCCTGAATAACAGATGGCGCCGGCATCGCGACCATGACTGCAAAAACTATAATCTCCAACTCCTGGATGAGCACAGTCTGCCAGGTTATCTTCTGTTCCCTCACAGCTAACATAGGTCAGGAGAATACGACCAGATCCCTTACCAAAACTTGCAGATTTCGGTGCGTCCAAGGCTCCATCAAATCCCAGCACTCTACAAACCACCCTCGCGCCTCTGAGATCCCAGTTCAAATCGCATACAGTTCCCCAGGATCCGTCATGCATAACTTCTATTCTGCCTTTAGCGTCGTTCGCTCCACCGATCAGACGAACTTGAAATGGCTTTGGATGGGCTACAATAGAATAGTTGCGTGATTTTTGCTTCATTGATTGGGAAAATGTTAACGGCGAATAAAAACCTTTAAACATTTTAACATTTGAAAGAAATCTTAACCATAAGATGCCCTTCTAGTTTCCTTAAAAAGATGTATCCTGGGAATCGCGAATATTATCTATCGTTGATTATAATTCGAACCCAATAAAACTGCGTAAAATTATTGTGAAGGTGTGCACTCTATCAAGTACAGAAAAACGCCTACTTGCCAAAGTTCAAGATATAATAACAGACAATACTCATCCTATCGATGATTGTTTCAGGTTCAACCGTTCTGGAATAAGAATGTGCCCTCCCCGTACTCGTTTTTCACGTTCTCGGTATTCATTCATCCCCAATTCAATACATGTGTATAATTCAACTGTGACACGATAACTAACGTGTATATACATATGGCTATCTTTATAATCATATATTTCCTACTCGATTTTAAATTTTCATTGTTGTTTTCGATACTTATTGAAGTGCAATAAAACGGACTGGATCGGGCCCAAGCGGATGGGGCGTGATATAGGGGGGGGGGGGGGGGGGGGATCTGACGGGAAATATTACGGGAAATGTTGTGACGCATGGTAATTTATGACGCATTGTAATTGTAGACAATATGAAATGGAGGGGCTCATGCACATTATAAATAATTATCCATATTTATGTACATCGTTTTCTATTGTTAAATGTTGTATTGTATTTTTTTTTATCATTTGTATGTTCACTGTCAAAAAAGCCATTGGAAGCAAAATTTCTTTGTATTGTTTGCATGCACAGGCCAATAAAATTATCTTGAATCTTGAATGTAAGTCAAATCTAGCTATGCTAAGGATACAGTCCCATTAAATCGATATATGAGAAAAGAGCGCTATAAGTCCCTCTTTAATAGCTTGATTCGCTTGCTCATTATTTACCAGGAAATTGATAACACATAATAAAAGTAGTAGGTAGTGAAAAGGGGGTTATGAAACTTTTCCACCAACCACCCCAACCCCAGGGGCGTCGCTAGACCTTTTTCAGTGGGGGGGGGGGTGTAGAGTCCACCGATTACCGATAAAACTGGCCACCAGTTACCGACAAATATATTAATGCCAATATCATAATGTCTACAAATTAAACCCTATAAAACTCTCTTAATCCTAATCTAAATTCAGCTCAGAAGCTTTGACGTTTCATTAAATCATTAGTGAAAGGAGACGATTCTTTGTACCGTACTCTCCTCTTAATCATTGTCTGATTTCAGTTTCCCCCTTCCCGCGCGAAGCGCGGAAGATTTGACGTTTCATTAAACTATTGTATCCCACGGCAGTATGCCGGTGGGGTACTTTGGATTCAGCAGCGTTACGCCGCCGCGTCATATTTTTGTGTACGCTCTACCTGCCACATTCCTTAACGGATTTCTTTCAAATTTTGTATGTAGGTGTATCGTGGTATAATCGCAACACCTATAACTTGTGGTGATGCTGCCCCCAGTGTTCCGTCTTCTATAGGGTAAAAGGCCATGTTTTTGTGGATGGTTTGTGAGCGCTCTAAAGGCCACATGTCTCAAGGGATTTAGTTCACATTTTGAACGAAGGTGCATCTTGGTATAATCTACACACCTACAATTTTTGGTGATGCTACCCCAGTGTTCCGTCTTCTATAGGGTCAAAAGGTCATATTTTGGTGGGTGTCTAGTGTGCGTTCTGCAGGTCATATTTCATGACGGATTTCTTTCAAATTTTGTTTGGAGAATTAGAAATGTATCTTGGTACAATCTACACTTTTGGGCGATGCTGCCCTCATTGTTCAGTCTTTTATATGGTCAAAAGTCATATATGTCTTTTATGCGCTCTAACTGCCACATTTCTTGACGGATTTCTTTCAAATGTTGTATGGAGGTGTGTCTTAGTACAATATACACATCTTTAGTGTTTGGTGATGCTGCCCCCGGTGTTCCGTCTTTGATGTAGTCAAAGGTCATTTATGTCTTTTATGCGCTCTAACTGCCACATTTCTTGACGGATTTCTTTCAAATGTTGTATGGAGGGGTATCTTGGTATAAACTACAAACCTACAACTGTTGGTGATGCTGCCCCCAGTGTTCCGTCTTCTATAGGGTCAAAAGGCATTATTTTGGCGGGTGTGCGCTCTGCGGGTAATATTTCCTGATGGATTTCTTTCGAATTTTGTATGGAGAATTAGAAATATATCTTGGTACAATCTACTCTTTTGGGCGATGCTGCCCTCATTGTTCCGTCTTGTATATGGTCAAATGTCATATATGTCTTTTATGCGCTCTAACTGCCACATTTCTTAACAGATTTCTTTCAAATGTTGTATGGAGGTGTGTCTTAGTACAATCTACACATCTTAAGTGTTTGGTGATTCTGCCACCCGTGTCCCGCCTGTTATAGGGTGAAAGGGCATATTGTGGTCGCTGTCTTTTGCGCGCTCTAACTGCCACATTTCTTGACAGATTGCTTTCAATTTTTTTACAGAGATGCATTTTACTCTAATCTTCACATATTGTTTTGGGGGTGCTGCTCCTAGTCTTGACAATATTCTGAGCCACTGGTGGCGATCTCTACGTCTTCGTTTTATTTCAGGGAGGGGAGAGGGGATTTTTGGTACTCCTTCGAACATAAGAATGACACAAAATCGCTGCCACTGCCGGGGAATACATTCGCATTGCGCGGCAATACAGTTTGCTATATTTCTAGTTAGAGTAAGAAGACGATTCGTTGTACTGTTCTCGACTTTCTCCTAATCTGAATTCAGTTTCCACCCCCCTCCCGCGCAAAGCGCGGAAGCTTTGATGTTTCATTAAATCACTTTAGTGAAAGAAGACGATTCGTTGAACTATTTTCGACTCTTAATCCTTGTCTGAATTCAGTTGCCCCGCTCCCGCGCGAAGCGCAAAAGCTTCCATGTTTCATTAAATTATTAGAGAAAGAAGACGATTCGTTGTACTGTTTTCGACTCTTAATCCTTGTCTTGATTCAGTTGCTCCGCTCCCGCGCAAAGCAAGGAAACTGCCCATTTCATTACATTATCGCTTGAACACTTTTTCATTTTAAGTTTTACCTTAAGATTTTTTTTTGTTTTGTTCTTGTTTTTTTTTAGGCCGCCATCCTTGTCAAGCTTTGCTTATGATTGCGGTCTCCTGCACTTTTCCACCAGAATAGTTAGGATAATACTTTAAATTTATGATAATATGTTATGGAAATAATAAGTTTCGTTATTATAATTATGTACATATATTATGTAAAAAAACATTTTGACATGAAGAAATTATTGTTTGTTTATGTTGTATTATACCTTACATGTATATTATGTTATTTGTTATTCAGTTATATTTTATTTGGAAAAAATGCAGAAATAAAATCAAATCAATTATTAGAGAAAGAAAACGATTCGTTGTACTGTTTTCGACTCTTAATCCTTCCCGCGTTTAGTTAAGAAGCTTTGACGTTTCAGTAAATTATTAACGATTAACGATTAACGATTCGTTGTACTGACTCTTAATCTTGTCTGATTTTTCAAAAATGTTTCTTTGTCCGATAAAAAGTCACAGTTCGTAGGGAGAAATAAATTTGCCGGTCAACCGACATAATTCATCTCGCCGACTTCAAACTTCTGCATTGATATCGTACACGAGAATCTAGCAAGAATACCGACACGGCGGACCCGACACAGCAACACAATTATCAATGCGTATCTTTCTTGCTCCCTCGACGTGGCGGCTCCAACCAACATCCCCCTTTCTCTTACTCCCACCCTCTTTTCTCAGGCTCTTACCCCCCCCCTCTCTCTATCTCTCGTTTCTTTCACCTCCGTTTCTTTTGTTTCTTTTTTCTCTTTTTTTTCTTCTTTTCTCCTTTAATTTCTTTCTTTTTTTTCCCTTTCTTTCCTCTCCTTTCTCCTCTTCTTGTTTCTCTTTCTTTCTTCTCTTCTCTTTCCTTTTTATCCTTTCTTTTCTTTCCCTTTCCCTCTCCTTTTCCCACTCTCCCTTTTCTCATTTTCCCGACAGCAGCGCAATTTTACCGACAATATCATTAACGGTGAGGGTGTCGCACACCCCCCCCCCCCTTTAGCGACGCCCCTGCCCAACACAATGAACGAAAATGTCCATCTCTGTTATTTGGTTCATTCCTAACACACCTTGTTTGGTATACAGAAGCCCATGTTTGTTGTGCACAGTACGTGTGTGCGGACATCCATCTTTGCACGTTCCACTTTCCAAACTTTATTAATTTGTTGGCCTTGGTATTGGTCTTTGAGTTTTAAAGAGAAGGTTCATTGATTTTAAAAACTAACTTTAATGTCATTATCGCAAAGGTGACACTTTGATTGGCCAAGGTTATCAAAAGCCAATGCTTGGAAACCTTCGAAGTAATGCTTATTAACGATTACAAAACGCTTAGATACAGCCCCGACATAGCACCTGAAAAGGTCCCCGGTCGCTGCTGAGATATGACGTCACATGTTGAACATGATGTACACAAGCAGACGATGTCCCATGACATCTCACACAATTTCAGTGCCTGTTTTGTCATCTTTTCGTCAGTTATTTATCTTACTTCAATACCCTCAAGCGACATGTTTAATCTATTGCCTCACTCTTAACCCCGCGCATGGTATTATTTTCATGGAAAATGCAAGGATAAAAAAAAAAAAAAATCCGTCGCTTGTAAACAAAATAAGACGCCATTGTATTTTCAGCTGCATACACCGCGGCATGTTCGGCGTTTCAAGAGGGAACAAATGACGTCCATGCTATCATTCCGGTGGTTTTTTAATTTGAAAGTATGGTTTCTTTGATTGTTCATTAACCCATATCCTGTGTATTTACAAACAAAAGAATTTAGTTATCAGAATGGGGGTCATATCCCTTTTTGAATGGTGTAAAATTCCATCACATTTATATACACTAAACTCATTATAATTTGAGAAATTAAAGCATTGCCATTATGTTCATTCTTTATGGGATGTCGTCTGCTTGGGCAGGGTTGGTTCATATTGTGACGGCATGAAAACATCGTTATTTTTCCGGCGAATCTCTCGCATATCCCAGATGCTGTGGAGGTTGTTTTATTTGTATTTTTATAAACCACCCGATATGTAGTTGACCTAAAACTTGCATGATGGCCATCTGTAAGCTCACCAGTTTCTGGTAATACGCTATTTGCCATATTTGTGATTTTCTATGAACCCGCACTTTAAGCCTTGGCCTTTCTAGCCAACAAAGTCAATGCGTTGGTTGTTAAGCTTGGGCATGGCTGCAACACTCACAATATATATAACGTTTAAGCATAATTCCGGAAGCATTTCATAGAGTTTGATTGAAAATATGGATTGTTAAAAACAAACCTCCTGAATAACAAATAGCGCCCGCATCGTTTATATGATCACAGTAATCTCCGATCCCTGGATGAGCACAGTCTGCTAGGTTGTCTTCAGTTCCCTCACAATTGACATACTTTAGAAGAATACGCCCAGAGCCCTGACCAAACCTAGCAGATCCCGGTGCCTCCAAGGCTCCATCAAACCCTAGCATTCTACAAACCACCCTGGCGCCTCTCAGATCCCAACCGACATCACAGATAGTTCCCCACGATCCATCGTGCAGTACCTCTACTCTGCCTTCAGCATCGTTAGATCCACCGACAAGATGAACTTGAAATAGATTCGGATGGGCTAAAAACGAATTTTTGACAAGTGTTAATCGTTTTTACCAGTGAAAGGATATAATATTTACACACAGGTTTAGCAACTTTGTTGGAAATGATTACATTGCGAAAACGTAATTTTTTTCAAAAAAATTATTTACTTTTCGATATCATTTATTTAAAGAAATGAACACAACACATATGTTCTTTCTTATAAATACGAAAGTCTCTTATATTATATTATATTATCTTATAAAATATAATAAAACTTGTCAAATCTTAGCTATGCCTACATATATCAATGCTGTAGTGTACTATTAGCCTTTTCCCATTGCCTTGACCTTAGCCTTGATGATTCAAAGCGTTTTTACTTTTTCTAACAATCCCAAGGCAATTTCATTAATTTTACTTTGTTTAAAGTAAAATTGTACTTTGGTTGCTTTGTCTGATAATAGATTGTTATGAAGGCAATACCAATTCTTCATGTAGGTGAACATAACATATCAAGAGAATGTCCCTCTTGCAACAAATCCTAAGAGACCAACACAATGTCCCTCCTATGACAGAAGAAGTGCCCCGATGTAAAATCACCCCTTTTTTGTGGCCCTTGTTTTTCGTCATTCATGTCAGCACACATGCCTTTCTTTATAGACAGGTATACATCTATGTTTATGTGCTTTGTTTACTACTGATTCCAGTTAAGGCGAGGCGTCAAAAATAAATATACCAGCCAGCGGCAGCTAACTGCACTTGTGCGTCCTGGCTGCATTTTTTAAATTAGCTCAGCCGGCTACCGCTGGCGGTAGGAAATGGCATTCAAAAGCATGCTGCCGCCTTTCGAATGGAAACCAAGCCTCAGATCCCAGCCTGGCGCAAGCCGGCTGGGCTAATAAGTGAAAAATAATTGCTCCAGCCAGGCTTCGGCCGTAATTGCAGCCTCGATGCGCCAATACGTGAGGCGGCAGCCTGCTGGTATCGATATTTTTGACACCTCGCCTAAACACATTTCATTCCATTGAAGGGGAAACAATACGCAAAATAGATGGCGCGAAAAAAACTTCATATGCGCCACTAAAACGGAAGGTAAAAAGGCATTAGGAATCATTTTGTGGGAAAGTGAAAGCAACAATTTTTTAGAGCTCTTTCGCAGTGCGCTTTGTCACAACATAATTGAATTAATGTTACTTATAAACATCTCATTAAAGGGTTCAGATAATAACAAGAAGAAGAGAATGTCATCGTCATTTCCAAACTTTATTAATTTGTTGGCCTTGGTATTGGTCTTTAAGTTTTAAGCTTTGGCCTTTCTAGCCAACAAAGTCAATGCGTTGGTTTTTAAGGTTGGGCATGGCTGCAACGCTCACAATATATATAACGTTTAAGCATAATTCCGGAAGCATTTCATAGAGTTTGATTGAAAATATGGATTGTTAAAAACAAACCTCCTGAATAACAAATGGCGCCCGCATCGTTTATATGATCACAGTAATCTCCCATCCCTGGATGAGCACAGTCTGCTAGGTTGTCTTCAGTTCCCTCACAATTGACATACTTTAGAAGAATACGCCCAGAGCCCTGACCAAATCTAGCAGATCCCGGTGCATCCAAGGCTCCATCAAACCCTAGCATTCTACAAACCACCCTGGCGTCTCTCAGATCCCAACCGACATGACAGATAGTTCCCCACGATCCATCATGCAGTACCTCTACTCTGCCTTCAGCATCGTTAGATCCACTAACAAGATGAACTTGAAATGGATTCGGATGGGCTAAAAATGAATTTTGAAAAGTGTAATTCGTTTTTACCAGTGTAAGGATATACTATTTACTCACAGGTTAAGCAACTTTTCTGGAAATGATTACATTGCAAAAAATGAACACAATACATATGTTTTTTATGAATACGAACATCACTTTTGAAATATAATAAACCATGCCAAATCTTAGCTACAATGCTGTAGTGTATAACCCCTTTTCCCATTGCCTTGGCCTTAGCCTTGATGATTCAAAGCGTTTTTACTTTTTCTAACAATCCCAAGGCAATTTCATTAATTTTACTTTTTTTTGTAAAATTGTAGTTAGGTTTCTTTGTCTGATAACAGTTTGTTATGAACGTAATACCGATTGTACTTGTAGGGGAACATAACATATCAAAAAATGTCCCTCTTGCAAAAAATCCTAAGAGACCAACACAATGCCCCTCCTGTGACAAAAGAAGTGCCCCGATGTAAAATCACCCCTTTTTTGAGGCCCTTGTTTTTCGTCATTCATGTCAATATACATGCTTTTTTGATAAATAGGTATACATCTATGTTTCTGTGCTTTTTTCACTGCTAATTCCACCCCCCCCCCCCACCCAGTACAAGTACAAGTCAAATCTGGCTTTTATAAATTATATTTAATGTCACCTGTGACAAAAAGCGTCCCATCGAATTAAACACATCTCATTCCATTGAAGGCGTAAACAATACGCAAAAAAGATGGCGCGAAAAAAGCATCAGATGCGCCACTAAAATGCAAGGTAAAAAGGCATTATTAATTTTTTTGTGAGATAATAAAAGCAACAATTTTCTGAAGCTAGTTCGCAGTGAGCTTGGTCACAACATAATTGAGTTAATGTAACTTATACACATCTCAATAAAGGGTTCAGATAATAACAAGATGGAGAATGTCATCGTCATTCCTACGTTCCTTAAAAATAAGCTTTTGAATTGCATCGGTATAATGTTAATACTGAACCACTAAAATAGGATAACATATGTATAGTTTAAATGGCACTATCGAATTTTCAACATTTTAAAGAAATCTAAACTTTAAGATGCTTTTTTAATTTCCTTGACAAGATTTATCCTGGTATTCACGAATATCGTTTATTGTTCATTCTAATTCGAACTCTATACCGCTTGATTAAATTGCTCCCTTATATATTCCTGCGTCAAATGCCTAAAATGACTTTGAATATTTGCCCCCTGTCATCATAATAAGTCTGGGTGGAGGGGATGAAGACAATATTGTTTTTACCCGAATGCCATAATTCCTAGCTACGCCAACTGTTGCTGTGCAACCTTGCATGAGATCTCCTATTCACCACCTTGCCATATCAAGTAAAAAATAAAAAAAAACCTTAGATTGTATGTTGAGCCTAACAAGAAATTAAAAGAAGACAAGGGCATTGATTTTTTAAGAGATGTCATACATCCTTTGATGATACTAAAATACAGTGCAAATGATTTATTAGCCCAATGCGAGCTTCAAATCAAGCTTTGTTAAAGATATAGTCCCATGCAACTGATATGTGAGGCAGGAGCGCTTGAAGTCCCTCTTTATCAATTAGCCCGATTCGCTTGCTCACCAGCCATTTACATGTGTCCAGGAAATCGATAACAAATATAAATAAAAGTAGGAGGTAATAAAAAGGGATTATGAAACTGAATATTTGTAACAGTTTTCCGACCCTTCCCATCTCACTGAAAATATTTCCATCAATATTGTTATTTATTTCATGTAGGCATTGCCTACATTTAAAACACGGCTTGTTGGGTATAAAGAAGCCGCTGTTTTTTTGTCTGTTTATGTAGGTGCGGACATCCATGTTTGCACGTTTCATTTTCCCCGACATTATTTATAATTGGGCCTTGGCCTTGGTCTTGTAGTTTAAGCCTTGGCCTTGCTGGTCACCATTGTCAATACCTCAGTCACAAGGTTAGGGAATTCACTGCAACACTCATATGTGTAATGTTTAAACAAGAAATTTCGGAAGCATTTAAAAGAGGTTGATTGAAAGTATGGCGTTTTAAAAACATACCTCCTGAATAACAAATGGCGCCGGCATCGCGTCCATGACCACAGTAATTTCCAATCCCTAGGTGAGCACAGTCTGCAAGGTTATCTTCTGTTCCTGTACACCCGACATGAACTAGAAGAATACGACCAGCGCCTTGACCAAACCTAGCAGATACCGGTGCGTCCAATGCTCCATCGAACCCCAACATTCTGCAAACCACCCTCGCGTCTCTCAGGTCCCAACTGACATCACAGATAGTTCCCCACGATCCATCGTGCAGTACCTCTACTCTGCCTTCAGCATCGTTAGATCCACCGACAAGATGAACTTGAAATAGATTCGGATGGGCTAAAAACGAATTTTTGACAAGTGTTAATCGTTTTTACCAGTGAAAGGATATAATATTTACACACAGGTTTAGCAACTTTGTTGGAAATGATTACATTGCGAAAACGTAATTTTTTTCAAAAAAATTATTTACTTTTCGATATCATTTATTTAAAGAAATGAACACAACACATATGTTCTTTCTTATAAATACGAACATCTCTTTTAAAATATAATATAACTTGTCAAATCTTAGCTATGCCTACATATATCAATGCTTTAGGTTACTATTAGCCTTTTCCCATTGCCTTGGCCTTAGCCTTGATGATTCGAAGCGTTTTTACTTTTTCTAACAATCCCAAGGCAATTTCATTAATTTTACTTTGTTTAAAGTAAAATTGTACTTTGGTTGCTTTGTCTGATAATAGTTTGTTATGAAGGCAATACCAATTCTTCATGTAGGTGAACATAACATATCAAGAGAATGTCCCTCTTGCAACAAATCCTAAGAGACCAACAAAATGTCCCTCCTATGACAGAAGAAGTGCCCCGATGTAAAATCACCTCTTTTTTGTGGCCCTTGTTTTCGTCTTTCATGTCAGCACATATGCCTTTTTTTGATAGACAGGTATACATCTATGTTTCTGTGATTTGTTCACTGCTGATTCCAGTTAAACACATTTCATTCCATTGAAGGCGGAAACAATACGCAAAATAGATGGCGCGAAAAAAACTTCATATGCGCCACTAAAACGGAAGGTAAAAAGACATTAGGAATTATTTTGTGAGAAAATAAAGCAACAATTTTTTAAAGCTCGTTCGCAGTGCGCTTTGTCAAAACATAATTGAATTAATGTTACCTATAAACATCTCATTAAAGGGTTCAGATAATAACAAGAAGAAGAGAATGTCATCGTCATTCCTACGCTCCTTAAAATAAGCTTTTGAGTTGCATCGGTATAATGTTAACACTGCGCCCCTAAAATAGGATTACATATTGTATAATTTAAAATGGCACTATCGAATTTTCAACATTTTAAAGAAATCTAAACTTTGAGATGCTTTTCTTTGACAAGATTTATCCTGGTATTCGAGAATATCGTTTATTATTTATAATAATTGGAACTCTATACAGCTTGATTAAATTGCTCCTTTATATATTCCTGTGTCAAATGCCTAAAATGACTTTGAAGGTTTGCCCCCTGTCATCATAATAAGTCTGGGTGGAGGGGATGAAGACAATTTTGCTTTTACTCGAATGCCATAATTCCTAGCTACGCCAACTGTTGCTGTGCAACCTTGCATGAGATCTCTAATTCACCGCCTTGGCATATCAAGTTAATAAAGCCTTATATTGTATATTTGGCCTAACAGCAAATTAAAAGAAGAAAAGGGCACTAAGTGTTTAAGAGATGTCATACATCCTTTGATGGGACTAAAATACAGTGCAAAAAAGAATAAGGGGTTTCCTACATGATTTAATAACCAAATGCGAGCTCCAAATCAAGCTTTGTTAAGGTATAGTCCTATGCAACTGATATGTGAGGCAGGAGCGCTTGAAGTCCCTCTTTATTAATTAGCTCGATTCGCTTGCTCACAAGCTATTTACATGTATATCTAGGAAATCGATAACAAATATAAAGTAGGAGGTAATCAAAAGAAATTATAACACTGAATATTTGTAACAGTCTTCTACCCTCTCCTAACCCACTGAAAGTATTTCCATTAATATTGTTATTTATTTCATGTGCACACAGATAAATAAAAGGTGTTCTTGGGGAGTAAAGCGAAATTAGAAATATAGGGCGCCTCCTAGTACACTTTTTAAGGAGTAAAGCACGGAAATACGCATGGGTGTATATTTGAGGGATGTAATTTTACACCTTATTTTAATAGTCAGACGAGCACTGATTGGTCAGTGCATATGTGCACGCGCTACAGCAATGGCGCATCGTGTCGATATATGTACTGCCAAATGAAGGACAATTAGCATAATTTACATATTTCAGTCATGTTAGGGTAATTATCATGTTTCATTTGGGCATATTATTTGTGTGAAAGTTATCCGATCAAGAATAAGATGTTGTACCGAAGGTTATATTCAATAATTTAATGAAATAAGCAGAAGTGTTGTTTTACTAACTAGTACACAATTGTCTTCTTATACGTACAAGTTAAGGGAAGATATTCAGTAAGGCATGATTGTGTTACATTACATTACAATTGAACCGATACGTCCAGCCATTAGTTAGTTCTTACAGTCTGCACTTGTGTTGAGTTCAAATTAACTGTTGTTTAGGTAAGCATTAAAGCCTTTCGACATATAACTCAACATTCTGGTCTGATTTCTTTAGAGCGGTGAAACGTAGAAAAAAAGGTGAGAATCAGTGTTTAGGTGATTCCATTACAATTGAACCGGTACGTCCAGCCATAAGTTAATTCTTACAGTCTGCCCTTGTGTTGAGTTCATACTAACTGTTGTTTAGGTAAGCATTAAAGCCTTTCGACATATAACTCGACATTCTGGTCTGATTTCTTTAGAACGGTGAAACGTAGACAAAAAGGTGAGAATCAGTGACTGTTAGGTAATTACGAAGCATGGATGATTGATTGCTCGAGGGATGATCAATTGGTTGATGCTGTGCATAAGAAGGGTGTAGATTAACTCCCCAAAGGGTGCGGAATCGATCATAAAGGGTATAAAATTCAACCCTACGGGTGTAAATTTTAACCTATTTTTCATGAAAATGGAACCAAAAGGTGTTAAATAAGCACAATTGGGTGCAAATTTCACTCCTTAAAGGGAGTACAATCACAACCTTGGGGTGCAGATTGGCACCTTCTTATTAAAAAATAAATAAATTATTCCCTACATTGGGGAGAAAATTTACTCCCTGAGGGGTGTCACTTATGCGACAAGAAGTTAATCCCTATAGGGAGTCAATTTACACATATTTTTCTCTGGGTGTAGGCATTGCCTACATTTAAAACACAGCTTGTTTGGTATAAAGAAGCCCATGTTTTTGTCTGTTTATGTAGGTGCGGACATCCATGTATGCACGTTCCATTTTCCCTCATTTTTATTTATGATTGCGCCTTGGCCTTGGTCTTGTAGTTTAAGCCTTGGCCTTGCTGGTCACCATGGCCAATGCCTCAGTCGCAAGGTTAGGGACTTCACTGCAACACTCATATGTGCAATGTTTAAACAAGAAATTTTGGAAGCATTTAAAAGAGGTTGATTGAAAGTATAGCTTTTTAAAAACATACTTCCTGAATAACAAATGGCGCCAGCATCGCGTCTATGACTACAGTAATTTCCAATCCGTATGTGAGCACAGTCTGCCAGGTTGCCTTCTGTTCCTTCACACTCGACATGAACTAGAAGAATGCGACCAGAGCCCTGACCAAACCTAGCAGATACCGGTGCTTCCAATGCTCCATCAAACCCCATCATTCTGCAAACCACCCTCGCGTCTCTCAGATCCCAGCTATCATCACAGATAGTTCCCCATGATCCATCGTGCAGTACCTCTACTCTGCCTTCGGCATCATTAGATCCACCAACAAGATGAACTTGAAATGGATTCGGATGGGCTAAGAATGAGTTTTAAAAAGAGAAATTCGTTTTTACTAGTTTAAGAATACAATATTTACACACAGGTTAAGCAACTTTTTTGGGAAATGATTACATCGCGAAAACGCATGTTTTCAAGAAAAGAAAATTACGTTTTGATATCATTTATACAAAAATGTAAACATAATTTTGAAAAAAATAAAAACGAGTATCTCTTTTAAAATGTACAGAACCATGTAAAATCAAAGCTATGCCTATGAATATCAGTCTTGAAGTGCATTGGCTTTAAGGCGCCTTAAGACCCATTCTTTCTCATCACCTTGGCCTTGGCCATGTGTATTAAAATCTTTGATATTTTTTAGCAATGCCATGGCAATTTCAATTCATTATTAAACTTAGTATTTTCACAAATAAAATTTAAAAAATAGTTTGGTCGCTTGTCTGACAACAGTTTGTTTTACCATTTTGACATGTAGGTGAACATAATAAGAACATCCTAAGAGAACAACACAATGTCCTTTCTGTGACAGAAGAAGTGTCCTGACGTAAAGCCACCGTTTTTGTGGCCCTAGCTTGTCCTCATTCATGTCAATACACATGCCTATTTTGATAGATAGGTCTACATCTATGTTTCTTTGCTTTGTTCATTGCTGATCCCCCACATTCCTAAGTACAAGTCAAATCTGGCTTTTATTAGTGATATTTAATGTCAACTCTGACAAAAAGCATCCCTTCCAACGATATAACATATGCCCTCCTGCATGGAACTAAAATCGACCCGGTCGGCACTCGAAGGGGACATTTAAAAAAATGTAAAATAGAGAACGCGATAAAAATGTGCGCCTCAATACGTCGGTTAAAAAGCATTAGGAATTATGTTTTGAGATAATGAAATCAACAGTTTTCTGAAGCTCGTTCGCAGTGTACTCTGGCTTAAGATAACTTCAGGATGTCGTCATTCTTACCCCGCTATTTAATGTAACTTTTAGACAGCTCTTTAAAGGGTGCAGATTAAAAAAGAAAAGAAAATAGAGAATATCATCGTCATTCCCACGCTCCTTAAAACAAGCTTTTAAGTTGCACCAGCCTGATGTTTATATAGCGCTCCCAAAAAAGGATTATTACATATAGTTTAAAATCTCACTTCCAAATTGTTCAACATTTGAAGGGAATCTTAACTTTGGAATGCTTTTCTAGTTTCCTTGACAAGATGTATCCTGGGATTCGAAAATATCATATTTCAATTATTATATTTCGACCTCTATACCGTTCGATTAAATTGCTCCCTTACGAATATTCCTGGGTAAAATGCGTTAAATAACTTAAGAGGTTTTCCCCATGTCAAATACAAATAGTTTGAGTGGAGGGGGTGGAGACAATTTGTTTTACACAAATGCCATAATCCCTAGCTACACTACTGGTTGATGTGCTACATTGCATGAGACCAATGATTTACTATCTTGGCATACCAAGTAAGAAGCCTTAAATTGTACATCGAGCAAAAGCAAATTAAACTAGACTTTAATTCGTCACTTTGACGAATTAGGTGATACGTAAGCTATTTTTGTATCATGAAAGTGTGCCGATGATGATCTAATGATAATATTCATAAATACGATAATGACGTTATTGATGATGAAGATTTTTTGGTTTTAAATGACGATGACCATGATTAAAAGTGGTATAGCGCCCCCTTCAGGTGCTCGATAGAGAATTGTTATATGATTAAACTATTAATTTACTAAACAATTGCAGAGCCTACCAATCATTGAACTGATATTTCGACGCACTACATACGCAACATAATGAACAAGTCTAGACTGGAATGTAGTATCAATCACCTCCCATAGGCATAAGACGCATATTAAGCAAAAATCTAATGACGTCATCAAATTGGTAATAATCTTGTGAAGAATTGTCTCAGCTACAACATATCAAAATTTAGAAGAAAATTGATCAATATTTGCAGAGATACAATCATTTTCCGTAAATATGTTGACGTCATAATATGCAAATTCGTATTTTGAGTTCCAAGGTCAATATGATTATGTAAAAATATACTTAATGGCCAAATGAGACATGAAATAATATCTCCGACTCATACTCTATCTAAATATGAAGGGAAAAAAATGGCAGTCCTTATTCATCCCGATGTACTTTTTATAGGCATGTTTTTGCCCATTTCTGCTATATAATACATAAGCTAGCAGGCACGGATATTTATCTTCAACGGACGCTCATTCTGTTATTAATAGTGATAAAGAGATGAACATGGTCTCAAATTGTTCAGAAAAATATGAGGAATATCCTGTCAAAAAAATTAAGGGGTAATTATTTTTCGTTCGGCCATGCGAACGAAAACGCGCAAAAATGCGTGTTTTGCGCGATTTTTTATGAAATGTTTATAATGGCCTGAAACATATGCAAAAAAAAATTCAGATGATTTGGAGCAATTTGAAATTTTACGCGCGCGTTAACGCGCGCAGAAATGCGTACGCGCATTTTTGCGCGCATTCATTGACCTGAAATTGACCGGACGGATATTGATCTTAATCCTGATAATTATAAATGAGAAATTCCTTTCCGTTATGAAGATATGATCATAAGTTGATTTTCACAAAATGGCGCCTGGATGACGTCACGATAATTTTGACTCTCTAAAAAGTCACGCAGTTCAAAGTTAGACTAAGATCTATAATCATGGCAAGTTTCATGATAATGGCTTTATTCAGTCATGAGATATCCTGCGAACAAATTCGAGGAAGAATAATAATAAATAAATAAATAAATAATAATAAAAATCTTGACGAAATCAAAAGGTGATACGTATATTTCATACGTATCACCTAAAAAGAAACGAACATCGAAGGTTTAAGAGCAGTGATAAATCTCCCGATGATACTAAGATACAGTTCAAAACAAAATAACGGGTGTCCTTAATTATTTATCAACCAAATTTGAATGCAAGCTCTAAATCAAGCTTTGTTAAAGATACGTCTCTCTTTATCAATTAGCTCGATTCGCTTGGGAAAATGTATAATATGAATGTGTAACGGCATATCATATATGTGTACAAACATTAATAGGTATATGTTCTTAATATGCTTATCGATTGCTCATCGTCACTCTTCGAGGAAGAAAAATGATAAACCATGGCTGACTAGAGCTATTTAGAAGTAAATTAAAATTAAATTGTATGTTAAATTATTAAAAACAAACTTTGGTGAAGATGATTTGAAAAAAATATAGGACGTATACAGATATTCTAACTACAGTTTTGAGGAATTAAGAGAGGAAATATAGTGCTTTATTTGAAATGTATAAAGATGATACAATGCAAACATGGAAGTCAATAAATAAGCTATTAAAGAGTGGCAACAGTAAAGTAAAAACGTCACATGGAAAAAAGCTCTGTGTTGATTATAATGGTAGTTCGAAAGTTGATTGTAACCTCAAGAAAAAAAAATATCAGAAGGCTTTAATGATTTTTCGATAACTTTGGGCCTAACCTTGCTAAATATATTATTGGTAATGATAATGATGTTATTACATTCAAAGATTATTTTAGTGATGGAATAGTTGACTCTTTGTTTTGGGAATCAGTTACTCATTATGAGGTAAAGGACTATTTATTAACTTTGAATGTAAAGAAAGCTCGTGGCTTTGATGATTTTCCAGCCTTATTTAATTAATTGCAAAACCATTAGCTTATATTTATAATCAGTCATTATTGAACAGTCTGTGTTCCAAGAAGTAATGAAAGCAGTCAAAGTTATACCAATTTTTAAAAAGGGGGAAAGAGATGTCCCAGGCAATTATAGACCTATTTTAGTTTTGCCTCTTTTGGCCAACATATTTGAGAAATTAGTAAACAAGAGGCTACTTGATTATTTTGAAAGGAATGATGTCTTGCATAAGCACCAGTATGGTCTCCGTAAACATTTTAGAACTAAGTTGTCTTCAATTAATTTGGTTAATGAAATGCTTAAATCACTGAATAAGGGCAGTGTAACACTTAATTTATTCCTAGATTTCTAGCGAGCTTTTGATGCAATTGATCACGCAAAATTGGCTGGTAAACTAGAACATTATGGAATAAGGGGTCTGCCTCTTCAGTGGTTTAAAGATTATCTTTTTAGTAGATTACAGTTTGTGAATTACGATGGACATAGCTCATTGGGACAGATTATAACAAGTGGCGCTCCTCAGGGTTCCGTGTTGGGACCTACACTGTTTTTGATGTATATAAACGATTTGCCAAACTCAACAAATTATTTAGATTTTAGACTTTTTGCCAATGATTTATGCTTGTTTCATACATTTCAACCGACTAAATTTGATTGATATGGATATAGTGAATATGCATCTTGAAAAGGTGACCATCTGGTGTAAGGTGAATAAACTCACAGTGAATCTCTTAAAGACTAATTATTTGTTAATATGAGAGAGTAGGTAATGAGTAGTAACTCAAGAGGTACTAAAAATAGCAGAGACGGAAATAGTCCGGGTTGATGTTGCAACATTTGTAATCGAAAAGATGTAAATACGAGTTATAACGTTTAGTCATAACCGATATTTAGGGAGCAAAAATTATTTATTCTGTATCAACTCCATAAACTATCTATCTTTTGCTGTATGTATTAATTATAGATTGATAAATTGCCGCAGTCCTTAATTCAGTATTCAGAGTGTGCCTAAAATAAGGACAACGAAGGGTACATTTTCAATGTCAATCAGAGGCACATGCTTTTTGAATGATCTACCCCTATCTGAACGGGAGAAAGCATCAGTGTCCTGCTTTCGTACACCTCTTAATTGTTGTAACTTTGAACCGAGGTGTCTTACTTTTTTGTATATAATATGTTTATATAATTATATAATTCTTTATCTTTTTATTTAGTGTAAAATACCAAAGCTTTGAATTTAATCACAGAACATATTTTAGCCTAGATGTGGAATAGTTTGTAGCTTAAGTATGTATTCCATAGTTATTAATATTCATTCATTAGATTCTCATTCATATTTGTGATACTTTTGTGTGTGTATCAGACAGGCGCGTACGCAGGATTTTTCTCAAGGGGGGGGGGGGGGGTTTAACATTTTTAAATCGGGCCGAAAATTTCGCATCGACTCAGCCAGCCGCTGAATAAGCAAGGGGGGGGGGGGGGTAAGAGGACACTTTTCTTTTTTTTTTGGTCGCCAAAAAATCGCAACGACTCAGCCGGCCGCTGAATAAGCGGGGGGGGGGGGGGGGGGGGAGGGGGGCGGGGAAGGGGACAATTTTTTTTTTTTTTGGTTTCGAAATTTGACAATTTGACATTTTCCTCCTTGGGGGGGGGGGGGGTAAGGTCACCTTTTTTAGGTCAGCCATGGGAATATTTTTTTTTTTTTCATTAAGAAAAAAACAAAAACAAAAAAACAAAGGGGGGTGTTTTTTTTTTTTTTTTTTTTTTTTTTTTTTTTTTTTTTGGGGGGGGGGGGGGGGTTTATACACATAATAATACCAAAGGGGGGGGGGGGGGGGGGTTAACACCCCAAACACCCCCCCCCCCCCCCTGTTTTCGCGCCTGGTATCAGACACGATTAACATTTAATGCTATTTTCTGGTCCCATTTGTCCTTTCAATGTTAAACATTCACATTGCTTGTTATATTGCAGTACTTTTTGTTTGGATAATAAAACTTCAAACTTAAACTATTTACATGTATGTTCAGGAAATCGATAACATATATATATGTAGTAAGTTATGAAAAGGGGCTTATGAAACTGAATATTTGTAACATTTTTCCACCGAGGGTTACAGTGATTCAGCTCACTTTTTGCCCCCCGCATCACACGTGACGCCAAATACTTAATGATAATAGTCAATGCCTTGGTCTTTAAGGTTTGGGCCTTGACTACAACACTCATATATAAAAAATTTAAGGAAATAATTATGGAAGCTTTTCATAGAGGTTGAATGAAAATATAACTTTGGTGAGAACACTATTTTTGTGTGTGTGACAAATTCTTGATTTTTTTTCTTCATGGCCGACCCCCACCCCCCCCCCCGTGAATCCGCGCCTGGATATACCCCTCATAGACAATTTCTTGTACATGGATTGGTTAAGAGAACTAAACGTAATCAGACATACTTCTAGAAGACCAACCCCATAACTATGTTTTTAAATTCTAGCTGTGACGTCAGACGAGGAAACGCTTTCACAATCCTCACTTTATTTGCGGAGGTCAGCTTTTGTGCGCACAACCGATTGATCAGTCATTCCCATCTCCTCGGGCTGACCAAGGGGAAAACAAATGTACCTGTGTTTAAATTCAAGCGAAGGAGTAACAGTAATTTGTTGACATTGATGCCAGTAACTTACCTCCGGAATAACAAACAGCGCCCGCATCCCTTGTATGACTGCAGTGGTGATATTCAATCTCTGCATGAGCGCAGTCTGCAAGGTTGCCTTCTGTTCCCTCACACTTGACATAAGCTAGAAAAACAGGACCAGAGCCCTGACCAAACCTAGCAGATCTTGGTGCGTCCAAGACTCCATCAAACCCCAGCATTCTACAAACCACCCTAGCGTCTCTCAGATCCCAGCTGTCATCACAGATGGTTCCCCAGGACCCATCGTGCAGTACCTCTACTCTGCCTTTAGCATCGTTAGACCCACCAATCAGACGAACTTGAAACGGCTGAGGATGGGCTGAGGAGAAAAGTATTTTTTCTTCTAAGTAATGAAATAATTCTGATCATTGCCAGAGCTACTAATGAAAATTAATTAATGTGTAAATTGTCATCAATTCGATGTTTTCTCTATGTACCGTTCGGTTGAAACAAGCCTAACACAAAGTTGTCATTCTTTATAATTTTATTGGAAAGAAATCGCTAATATATCCAGAGGAAAAAACTAAGCAGCAACTTCAATGTAATTTCGCTGGTGATCTGGTCATATATCAGCAGTAAGAGTTTTTCTATTCCACTGTCGAAAAGAGAAAATGAAAAGCAGTCTACTCTACTATTTGAAATAAAAATCATTAATATCAAATTCAGTGTTTTAGAATTAGTGCTCCTTTAGTCTACATAGATTGACTAAAAACCTTTTTATCCGTTGAATATGGACCAAAGACACCTATAATAACACCGTGCAGATTGAGTAACAATTGAAGAAAATAGGTTTAGAATAAAGAGATATCATTTCGCTGCGTACAATTGCGAAGAAACAGTACAGATAAAGGAAATATTGATATTGGTACAAGCAAAAGTAATCTATTATTGAGTTTTTTTTTTATTTAGTTGTAAACAAAATTGATTTCTGTAATACGATATAAACCTTAAAAACTCTTATGTACTATAATACTTAAATACATATATAGATTAAAGCAACTACAAAACATAGACATTTCAGAAAGTGGCAAGAGATAAAAAGCGAAAAAAATCGAGAAAAGTATTCTAGTGCAGAAATTGAACAGCAAAGACGTTGTTATAGTAGATCCTGCAACCAAGCAAGGTGGCAGTGAAGGAAGGCGGTGAGTTCATATGAGAAATATATAGCCTCAGGAGTTAAGAGGTATGCAAGAGCCTTCTGGTCATATGTAAACTAAAAAATAACAACTCCGGAAAGTGTCTGTAATTTAACCAAACCTGATGGGAGTAAAACAGAAACGGATCAGGAAAAGGCTAAGGTTTTGCAAGATTTCTTCTCTTCAGTTTTCACGAAAGAAGATTTACAAGATATCCCTCTCCCTTCAGATGTTGAATTTGACACTCCACTAGACGACATACAGATTACGTCAGGAGATGTGTTTGAACTACTGCGTAGACTTAAGCCTAATAAATCTCCGGGGCCTGACAATATACATCCCTGTCTACTTAAAGAACTAGCAGATGTGTTAGCTCTACCGATTTATGTGCTGTTCCAAAAGAGTCTTGAAAGTAGAGAGTTTCCCCAAGACTGGGAATCTGCAAATGTTACCCCGATTTTCAAGAAAGGTAACAAAAGTTATAGGCCAGTTAGTCTAACAAGCATTATTTGTAAAATGATGGAGAATCTTGTGCGTAAGCAATTGCTTGACCATCTCATGACGAATGATTTGATTTCAGTTCACCTGCATGGGTTTGTAGTTGGTCGGTCTTGCATCACCAATCTTTTAGAGGTGTTGGACCAGTAGACATAGATTTTGGATGATGGAGGCACAGTAGATGCCATATATTTGGATTTCATGAAGGCGTTCGATACGGTGCCTCACCACCGGCTGCTTCTCAAATTTGAATCGTATGGAGTTCGTGGGAATGTACTTGCATGGTTAGAGTCTTTTCTGAGTGGACGGCAGCAAAGAGTAGTGGTCAGAGCAAGAAGTTACCTGGTCAGAGGCAAGCAGTAAGTGGGGCAAAGTCCTGAGTGGAGTGCCGCATGGCATTGTGTTTGGTCCGTGTTTATTTTTGCTATTTGTCAATGACCTTCCAAAAGTTGTCGACTCAAATATTTCAATCTTTGCAGACGATACAAAGATGTATGTCCGTGCTGATACTGCAGATTTAAGAAAGTAACTACAAGAGGATCTGTCGATGGAAGAATGGGCTGAGAAATGGCAGCTTTGCATTCATCCTGATAAGTGTACTGTTTTAAGGCTTTGGAAGTTACCGACAGAAGCCTCTACAGACTATTGTACGAAAGAGGGGACAGACTCTGTTACAAAAGTAGAAAAGGACCTAGGTGTCCTTGTACATTCACAACTATCATTTAAAGATCACGTTTCCCAAACAGTTTTTAAAGCAAATCGAGTACTTGGAGTTATCTGTAGGACATTTATGTACCTCAATACTGATAGTATGCCGTTTTTGTTTAAAGGCCTCGTTAGGCCCATTTTAGAATACGGACAAGCCGCATGGTCCCCATACAGATTAGGAGAACAGAGGATGTTGGAAAGCATACAAAGACGTGCAACAAAGGCTATTCCTTGCGCTTGACCAAACTCAAACTACCAACTCTTGTTCACAGGCGTAGAAGGGGGGACATGATCGATGTGTATAAGTACGTGAATAGCTTGTACACTGTGCAAGAGATTCCCTTTAAGATGCGTACAGAAGATAGAACTCGAGGTCACTCTAGAAAGCTTGAAAAGATATATTCAAGGCTAGATATAAGAAAATACTTTTTTTAGCAATAAAGTCGTGGAAATGTGGAACGGTCTCTAAAAAAACGTTGTGGCAGCTGGGTCGGTAAAATCATTTAAGAATGGACTTGATAGTCACTGGTCAAAGAATGCAAGCATTTTGTATGAGCCGGTCTAGGTGTTGTCTATTGACTCATGTTATTACACAACCTCCTCCCTCCACAAGTAGCAGTAATCATGGAAGAATCCTGGATCAATGAACAGGCTTAGACCTACAACATCGTGTATTAAAGTAAAGTAAAGTAAGTTAATAAGTACTTCCTCCTATAATGTGACTTCCCGGTAAAAAATATTTGTTGGACAAATATGAAAGATCATATAGCTATAGAGAAAATGCCTATTTTTATATCAAAAGGTTGTTTGTACACAATAGCTTAAAACGGAGAGGTAACTTATTCTTCCTGAGTAACTCGAATCCCTGAATGATAAGAATAAGAACACTAATTTTTGGGGGGACAAATTCATGATTTTTTTTCTTTATGGCCGAAATACGAAGGAATAAAGAATTTAGAGTTACTGCTCCATTTTGTGTTTAAAGATCAGCTCAATTGTTTTATTCTGTAGAATACGGACCCAGAAAAACCTACCTCCGGAATAACAAATGGCACCTGCATCCCTTGTATGACTGCAATCGTAATTAAAACAACTGATCCCTCCATTCTTTCCATATCTGCAAGAGAAACCTTTATTTCCTGCAATATGAGCACAGTCTGCAAGGTTGCCTTCTTTTCCCTCACACCCGACATTAGCTAGAAGAATACGACCAGAGCCCTGACCAAACCTAGCAGATACCGGTGCTTCCAAGGCTCCATCGAACCCCAGCATTCTACAAACCACCCTCGCGTCTCTTAGATCCCAACTTTCATCACATATAGTTCCCCAGGATCCATCTTGCATGATCTCTACTCTTCCTTCGGCATCGTTAGACCCACCGACAAGACGAACTTGGAGTGGATTCGGATGGGCTAAAAATGAATTTTAAGAAACGTAATTCGTTTGTAATAGTGTAAGGATATAATATTTACACACTGCTTTGGCTACTTTTGTGGAAATGATAACTTAGCGAAAATGTCAATTTTTCTGTATCATTATTTCATTTCGATATCATATATTTAAAACAATAAAAAGAGTGCAGCTTTTTTCATAACTACGAACATCTCCTTTGAAATTGTATAAACCATGTCAAATCATAGGTTTGCCTACTTTTTACCAGTGTTGTAATGCATTGGCCGTAAGAAATAAATATACATATGTTGTTGTGAGTACGGATTCTTATAAGCAATATGATTGCATGTTAGCCAACATTCAAGAAATGCCTAGAAAATAGTCAAAGTCAAATGCAGTCATAAAACTATCACTATCACTTTTCCAAATGGAAACGTCAGATTTTAGTTATTGATTTCGTAGCAATGATAGAAAAAAGTACTTGTATTACTATATAGGCTCAAAATATTTTGTTGTTTGCGATTTGAACAGAATGCAATTTATAATTACGAATATTCGTTTCCTCATGTCCAGAAGAGTTCTTACCTCCTGAGTAACACACGGCGCCCGCATCCTTGTGGTGCCTACAGGAAAACTCCTCCCTTCTAAAACAGTTAGCCAGGCTGTCGTATGTTCCCCAGCAAAGGATACCAAAAATATCACCAGAACCCTGACCAAACCTGGCCGATTGTGGTGCGGCCAGGGCACCGTCGAACCCCAGCATTCTACATATTACCCTTGCGTTTAACAGATTCCAGAATACATCACCACAAACGGTCATCCATGATCCACCGTACAAGACCTCCACTCTTCCTTCAGCATTGTTGGAGCAATTTATAAGACGTATATCTGGTAGAAGACTGTCGTTGAGTTTCCGCAAAATTGTATTTATTTTGTATATATCCAAAGTGGTTCATTGTGACGCAGAACGAAAATAAGAATTAACCTTTTTTTCTGAAACGGATCGATTGCCCCTCGATTAAATTGAAAACATGATAACTACAATCAGATTGTTTTGATCGGACAACTGTATAACTATTAGAGGGGTTGCTAGACCTTTTTTTTTAGGGGGGGGGGCAGGGTTTAATAATATTTTCAGACTGCTGACATTTGTCCAACAAGCTAGGAGTTTCTATGAGAGATTGTAATCTCTTTTAAATGTGAAGGAATTCTTCGTGGAATAACAAGAACATGAAAGATATAGGTTGATGGGGTTTTAACAAAATCGGACTTAGCTCAGGTCACTCACAATATTGTGTCTGGTATTGCATGGAGCCTTTCGACAAGATATCACGCTAATGATACCCAAAACGACTGGTTGAAGTTGACTAGACACTGGACCTTTAATTATAATAATAATACGACAAATTTACATAGCGCTTGTGACATGAAAGTTTTAATGCGCTGTACATAAATCAAGATTACTTCAAGAAAATCAAAATTACTATTAAAACAAATTAACATTACTTAAATTACCAAGAAGATCAAATATTGCTAACATCATTAAAGAAATTAACATAGCATGTAAATTCCTTGGTAACTTAACATATATCATCTGGTATACATGGATAATATAGACTTGGCCATTTTTAATAGGCTCTCGAATTTCCTACCTTACGCGGAACGTATGGACAAAGGCGTAAGCAGGACCACTCCATCTAGCTACACTCAGCAGGATCAGGATTCCTTTAGACATTTTATAGTAAAGAGCCGTTGGTAGAAGAGGCGGAGCCATTTATCGTACCTATTATACGACATGGTACAACACTCTTAGAGAACTAGCCTGCCGGGTAACCAAGGGCTGCAAGTAGCTACGTTCATCAAGTAGGGTATGAATCGCCAATGTAAGATCTATAAAGGTTGATGTGGGTCTGGACTCACCACAAGCTGACGAGTTCGCTGTAGCGTTCAGGTCCTACATTCATAAAACTTACTACGTCTAGTTGCCAACTGCAACTATGTACTCGTAGTACAATAGCCTAGGTAATTAATTGACAACTAGGTTAGTAAGGTTTGTGCATATGGGTCAAGCTAGGTTTCCATGCACGACCAAGACGATAATGTTTTGCTAGATGTTTGGGAATACGTAATATCATGGACTCTTCTTTTTCTCGTCGAAACTGTGAAGTCTTAAAATTTCCCTCGTTTTGATAATAACCTCGTTTTTTATGGTTATGGATATGGTTCGACGTAAACACCTTAAGTAGCTCTTTTTTTAGATTAAGCATAATAGGAAAATGAACACAGATTATGAATCAGATTATGTATTGTAACTGTTTTAGTCTGTGCTAAGCCACAGGAGATATCTCTCCCATGCTCAACCGTTTCAGGTTGATTATGACAATGTACTTGTTTGCATAATTTCTTCAATATTACATTTGTATTATAAGTGGAAACTAATTCTTCCCTTTCATCCTTTCTCTTTGAATTTGTGTATGTAATATACGTATTAGCATATAATAGCGGCGTGAGTTTGTTGGGAGTGTTCAGTGCAGTTTATCCTTTTTCTTGCCGCCTCTTGGACACTGTTCTTGTGAGAAACGGCTGGGATCAGCCAGGAGCTGTGCCTCAAAGGTTCTTTTATGTCAAGAAATTCCATGTTCGGTAAATAATAACGACGATATTGTAACTTTTTTTTACTAGTTGTCGGTAACCTCCAGGGAAGCACGTCTCAGAAAAACGCATCAGCCTGAACGAAGGAAAGTCATCGCATCGACGTATACGAGTTTCAGATGGGTTGTCACGCAAGTCATAAACCGACGTGAGTTGTGTTATAGCACTGGAAGTGCAGCAGAAACTGTAGTTAATTCTTATCTCATCTGTACTTTCGCTTTTGAACGAATGTGGATTTATATCAATGGCCTATGATGGCGAATTTCCTAACTTGGTGTACATTAAAGGCATCATATTCCATTAAATATACTATATATAGGCCTATGGAGTGCGGGACCGTCCTGAAATGCAATGTCTAGCTTACAAGTCAATACCCAATTGTTTGTAAAGTGGTCTCACTTCCTTCTCCTTTCTCTTTCCCCTCTCATGCTCTTTCCATTTCTCTCAAGTTAACTCGCAGCTTTTCCTGCCTGATTTCCACTTTTTTTTTATTACAAAAAAATATGGTAGCGTCAAGTTTGATATTGCAAATGTATATCTCATCTGCACAATCTACCCGTGGATTTCCACGGGACTCTCTAATGTGTATATAATTAGTATACAAATATTGTATATTTCGTCGTTCAATATAAGACAATAAATGAACCATGTATTTCATAAGTATATTTCAAGCTGAAATATCATGACACGAGGTAAAATTTGAATTTTGGAGGTGAATATATGTTATAGGGAACAACGAATTGTATGCTATGTATGTTTAATATGATTCAGGGTACATTTGTAATCCTTTGGAATAAGGGCCTCCCTTAAAGGCCCGGTCACACAGAGAGGAAGCATGGGAAACGCACGGCCAGCGCATGGGGAATTTGCAATTTTGGCCAGTGCGTTGTCGTGCGCCCAACTTTTGTCGAAGCTACAGCGAGCTGACACCAAATGCATAGCGTGTTGCTAGCGCGCTGAGCGCATACAGGGCGCATACAGACCGTACACAGAGCACACATGATAACAACTTCCACGAATGCACAGCGTGTTGCTAGCGCGCTGGACGAATGGTCCACGCATGCACCGCGTTCTACGACGCACGACCCGCGCATTGGAAATCGGAAAAGGCCGTCTGCCTAACTTTTGTCATGATTTTGGAAAAGCGAGCTGACAAAAAAAAAATGCACAGTGTGTGGCTAGCGCGCTGTGCGTATACAGGGCGTGTGCTCCGCGTATGTCTGGCGCTGGTCTACCGCGCTCCACGCATGCTGGCGTGCCTTTGGCGTGTATATTCATGCGTCGAGCTCCGCGCACACTTTTGAGCATGCTCAAAAAAACCCGACGCACACAGCGAATGACGACGAATGCATAGCGCTGGTCCAGCGTTGGTCCAGCGCGCTCGACGAACGAGTAACGAATGATGACGCACGCCTAGCGAACGACAACGCACTGGCCCAAATTGCAAATTTCCAATGCGCTGGCCGTGCGTCCCCTCTGTGTGACCGTGCCTTTACATGCGCCAAGCTAAGATATTGCAAGCAATGGGTACGCGCCGGGCTGAGAGGTGCACAGTCTAATTAACTTTAGTACGCGTTATACAATACCAAAAAATGGTTACGTTGCACACTCGCGCACATATAAAAATATCCCATGCTTCGGCGTTCAAGTACAACAAAATATGTGAACCGACAACTTCCAGAGTGAGGCTATATCTCGCCGAGGCAGCAGGCTGAGGTTAAGATATAGTGGCTCGATGCACATTCTAAATTTTGAAGTTATTATATGTTATACTGAATGCATGCAGTATTTGCAATATAAAATTGAGGGTATTTGCGACCTCTTGCCTTGCTCCCTTGGAGTCGAGCCATGTGCGCTGCCCAAACAATGGAGTATATGCTGGGAAGAGAGGTGCGCAGATAATTCTCGTTTATGCGTTATACCCTGTTAAAAAGGTATATATATATTGCAAAGTCGTGCACATTTTAATAATATATTGACCTTTATAGCCAAAAGAATACTCACTAACAAATACAACAAACAAAATGAAGACACATACTGCTAAGAATCCAGAACTGTTATTTTGAAAGCAAGATTGGTACAATTAGCTGCGATATTAAGCCTGACTAATTATACCTTTTATCATCGTTAGGACAAATACATATTGTGAAAATAGATTATTTGGATGAATAGAAGGGACTTACATTATGATTATGAATAATCTCTGTTCTTCTCTATTACATAATGAATTAAGCCAAATCTAAAGTGATGATAGTGATAGAGGAAATCGAGTACAGTCAATATCTAAGTAGTTTGATATGACACGTCTATAACCAAAGAAGGAACGCAATATCATTGATACGATTTCATTATGTACATTATTGTTCCCTTATTGTACAGTCCTTGCTATGCCGAACATTTTGCTCTTATTTGGTTAAGCAATTACACTCGTCAGTTTATTTACAATCTTACAGAAATGTTTATTCGTGTATCACAAAGAGGTAAAATTGCAGAAAATATATGATACTTTCATTTTGTTTAACCCAAATCCTTATTATTTTATTCATTATTTCAACAATGATAACGTAATTATTGTCGTTTAACCTGACATTTACATGAAAGTCTGTATTACGGTCATACATTTTGTCTTGAATGATATTACACAATGGAGAAGAAAAACAACCTATATATGTCTGACAGTGTCTAATCTATGAGTTGTTTACATCAGTGGTTTGAAGATAAGTTTAAACATAGAACATGTCATTTGAATTAAAAAAGTGATTTAGAAAAACAGTTGCGTGTGAATGGTAATAGAATCGGCATTAATCGTCATTGAACTGAGATCGTATGGAATTAAAGAGGATTTTAATTTACTTGCTGAATTTAAGACCGCCATTAATAATTAAATTTGACATCACTTTCAGTTTTCCATCGTACTGAAGCGGAAGAATCTTTTTTGAATGTGGTGATTTGTTACCACTAAAATACGGCTCTAATTCGATCATCTTTTATTTCAGCACACTTGTGTACATCCTTACAAATGACGGATAAGTGCATTATCAACAACTGAACCACTTCTCATAAGTGTCTAATTGTATCGTTTATTTTTTGTATATTTTACCCACACTTGTCATGTCCATATATTTATGGTAATAATCCCGTGTTATGTTTTTTGTTTCACGGCAGCCTCCAGTCTTTAATTTAAACTCTTAGAAACTTCAGAAGTTTTTTGAGGTGCAGTTTTATTTATTTGCACACTGGTTAGTGTTTTTCCATCGTTTTCGCTCGAGTCTGTGTCGGAGTTGTCCTCTCAAGGGAGAAGATATCCATCAAGGTCCACATCTTTCCCCGCTGAGGGCGTTTGGTAGACAGTTTTCATGTCGGTATACTCATGATTATACGATTTATCGTCACGAAATTGATCAGCCGTTGCTGTCACTCTATCATCCGATAATGCATCCCTGGTCGGAAGGATATATCCATCGAGATCAAAGTCTTTTTCATTGCCAGGTGTTTCATAAACGGTATTCATGTCCATGTATTTATGTGGTTCTCCTTTTGTGATGTATTGCGAGAGATTCAGATCTGCTTTCACGTCATCATCAGTTGCTATATTTGATTCATAATCATGATGAAGCATACCGGATTTTCGTCTATCCGGTAACCGAGGTGGGGCGTTCAGGTCTTGATAAACGGAGTTTATTGAAATAGCTTGCATCGTGCCAATATTCGTTACATCCATATAAATATCGGCGTTTACATTTTTCGCAGCCCTTCTTTTTCTTATTCTATGAAGACAGTACCAGCAGGACAATATCAGAATGATGGTAAACAATAAAACGCAAAGCCCAAGTAGAAATATCTTTGGAAGATCTGACAACAGACTAGGTCTTGTATTCAAGTTCAGATCTTCAATATTAGTCGGGATTTCCTGATTGCGGGAAATGTTCTGCGTACTTGACGATACTACTGTAATGTCGTCAGCAGCTGTCATCGGATCGTCAGTTGTAGGTGTCGTAACATCAGGTGCGACTAAATGGGAAAAGGCAGCCATATCTATGACAAAAGTGGAACATAAGATAAATATCATTAATAAACAATTCACATTAAGACATTTCACATTTTCAAAATATATACGGGAAAAAAAGATAAAAACATGGGCTATGATAATTATTATTATAAAAATATGAAAACGAAGGTGTGTATAAAGTTTTGAATGAAGTTAAGAGAAAGTTAGTAACTTTTTAAAGTAATTAAATCCTTTATTTCTCGTCTTTGCGCTGATGCCAGCTTGAATCGTAACTGCTTAATATACTGCACACGATTCCGTTGCCCTGTATACGAATAGTCATCTTTATAATGAATTTCGTAAATAATTTATTACCTTTTTCCTTATAAGCAATTCATTCATAATTGGATTCCAAACGTGTCAAAATTAGTTAGGTCACTTTGAAAGATTAAATGAAAAATGATGACTGGATGCAATGTGCGTAAATTTTAAATATTGTACCTCCTATGAGACACGTGACCCCAGCGTCTTCGTTATGTTGGCAGTTGTGCACTCCAAACCCTAGATGTGCGCAGTCCGCAAGATTGTCTTCCGTTCCATCGCACCCGACATGAGACAGAAAAATGTCTTCGTTCCCCTCGCCAAACTGGGCTGAACCTGGGGCAGTCGAGGCGTTGCCGAATCCTAGCATTCTGCATACGACATTTGCATCTTGCAAATCCCAGCCATCGTCGCAAACTGTTCCCCAGGTGCCGTTGTATCTGATCTCCACTCTGCCTTCAGTACTGTTGGATCCACCCACGAGCCTTAATCCAACAGAGTTTGGATGGGCTAAAACGAAAATGGAATTTATTTATTTTAGTATACCCACACTTGTCATTCCCTATCTCGTTCAGTTGTTCAGTTGTTCATATAATCATTTGGGTATGCATTTAAATTATATCGAAATTTTATTGGAGTTGGAGAGTTTTGTGATTATTGTATCATCTACTATATATCTGTTTAACCTCCTATCGGAGACATCCCTACTAGCCTTTACCTAATCGGGGGAGATGTCTCGACGTTTAGTGAAAGTGTCCATCATACCAATTAAACTGTAACATACATATTTTAAGATAAAGGACCATCACACCATCAGTTCCTTTTGTATTGTGACTACTCGTTCATTGCACCTTCTTCACCTTGTGTAAACGGCGTAAATCCGGCGCGAATGTCAGTGAAACAGCCACAATTGGCATGACAGGGGGACGCCTTAAAACACCCAAATAACAATCTTTACAGGGTGATTAGGAAACCACTCTGGCCCTGACTATATCATAAAAAGGTGTGCGCACAATATCATTTTACTGAAAGTAATGACACATACCTCCCGAGTAACAGATGGCACCAGCATCCTCTTCATGTCCGCAGTAATTGACACCTAACCCAAGATGTGCACAGTCCGCAAGATTTCCCTCTGTTCCGTCACAACCAACAAGATTGAGAAGTATATCCCCAGATCCCTGACCGAACCTTGCAGATGTCGGTGCGTCCAAGGCTCCCTCAAACCCCAGCATTCTGCAGACGACCCTCGCGTCTCTGAGATCCCAGCCATTATCACAGATAGTTCCCCAGGACCCATCGTAGAAGACCTCCACTCTTCCTTCAGCTTTGCTGGATCCATCGACGAGCCTTATTCCGAGAGGATTTGGATGGGCTGAGGGAAATTAAGTCAGTAATTGATAATGCAATCAAAACCAATGAAATTTGAAATAGCACACAAAACGAAATAGATGGCACAAGGCAGTTATGTATATCTTATTTTTGAAGTTATTGTAGTAGAAAAGTTTGGATTGTTTTAATATGATTCTTAAATTAAAGTATTGGTCTCTCCATTGAATAAGCCGGGAGCAAAATGGTTGAATAAAAACAACTTGTATTAACATGTTATCTCTTGAACATATCATCCTCTCAAGATCTTTCACGACTGACATTAATGGATAATAAGTAAACTCTTTATATAATGACATATCAGGACTGCATGTGACGGTTAAACATACCTCCATTGTAACAAATAGCGCCCGCATCTTCATCATGTCCACAGTAATGTACTCCAATCCCTCGATGAATACATTCTGCTACGTTTACTTCTGTTCCGTCACATCCGACGACATCTAGAATAATACGACCAGAGCCCTGACCAAACCTAGCAGATCCCGGTGCGTCCAAGGCTCCACCAAACCCCAGCATTCTACAAACCACCCTCGCGTCTCTCAGATCCCAGCTGTCGTCACATATAGTTCCCCAGGATCTACCATGCATGAGTTCTACTCTGCCTTCAGCATCGTTAGACCCACCGACAAGACGTACTTTAAATGGGTCTGGATGGACTACAAGAGAGTAAGAACTTAATAACTGGGTTGTTTTATAGATGATATCATCACAAATTTCAACACACGTTAGATGAAAAAGTATGATGGCAGTTTCAATAAAACACCATTTTGCCTTAATCCAATGATGTATAGAAGTAGGGAAACATCTTATTCTAACATGATTATTATGTACAATCCATTACAATACCTGCCTCCTCATAAATCGACCGAATGAAAACAACTTGTACAATGATAATAACTATCTATTTTGTAAAAGATTCAGCTCCTTAACAAAATTGTTTCTTTAGTTATAAATAGATTCATTAAGAGGCAAAAAGGGAGATTTTTAAAGTCACTTATGAAAAACTATTCTGATGTTCGTTCTCAATGAAAATCGTTAACGGATAGAGGTACTACTAGATTATAATGTCTAGAAATCATACCTCCTGAGTAACACATGGCACCTGCATCACTTGTATGACTGCATGAGTAACGTGCATTCCCGGAATAACCACATTCTGCAAGGTTGTCTTCTGTTCCGTCACAGTTGACCCTATCTAGTAGAATACGAACAGAGCCCTGACCAAACCTTGCAGACCCCGGTGCGTCCAATGCTCCATCAAACCCCAGCATCCTGCAGACTACCCTCGCATCTCTCAGATCCCAGCCAACACCACAAACAGTTCCCCATGATCCGTCCCGCAAGACCTCTACCCTGCCTTTAGCACTGTCCGATCCATTGACAAGCCGAACTTGGAATGGGTTCGGATGGGCTTTAATAATGAAAATATGTTAAACCGAACATCAGTTCATGTTTTTGTTTACATGATTCGACTACATATTTGTCTTGAATTAGGAATGGCATACACAAAAATAGAAATTAGTCAATCTCAATAGGGATATTTCTACGTTTCATTTCATGTATTCATTTATTTATTGAAGGGGGAGATTTTCGGAAATATTTTATGAGCGTAATTAAAGTTTTAACAAAAATTAATACAATTCTGAAAACATGCGCGTTCCAAACTTTGCAATCGTTTACTAAATAAAGCCTTAAGTCCATACCTCCTATAACATACGGCACCTGCGTCCATGTGATGTCCACACGGAATGCTGGCCCCAAAGTATGGACAGTCGGCCAGGCTGTCTTCTGTTCCCCAGCAATCGACACGAAGAACATCACCAGCACCCTGACCAAACCTTGCTGATCGTGACGCAGCCAGGGCACCGTCGAACCCCAGTATTCTGCAAACCACTCTTACATCTCTTAGATCCCACGAGGCACCACAGACAGTTCGCCAGGATTCACTATACAAGAACTCCACTCTTCCTTTAGCATGGTTGGAGCCATTTACGAGACGTACTTCTGGTTGAAAAGTGTACATGGTGCTATTTCTTCTCCGCCCCCCATTTTATGTCAAGAATAGTTAATCTGGTTAGAATATGTCTCTGAAACCAGAAACAGCTCTGGTTCTCCTTCTTTTAAAATGAACAGTGGATTGATTTTTGACAAGTGATATTCTTCATCCGTCACTGCATTGGTGGTTTTGGTATTGTATGCCATAGTATATCCTTGAAAATGTCAATCTAGAACAATTTCCTTGGGGACGGGTTCATTTTCCCCAAATCGCCGGACCGCTAGCCGAAATTTATCCAAGAATCAGAAAGGAAAGAATATGGAAAAGCAGATTTCCTTGCTATACTACAAAGGTTTTGAAAATATTGGTCGATTCTTTAAAAAAAAAATGTTATAAAGCTATAGCAAGGATAACCCCTTTCCGTCCAGTTAGAAAGTTGTTCACGACTTTTTCAAATTATACGGCTAAATAAACAGCAATGTTTTCTGCCACTGTTTTGTCCGTTGGTGAGTATTAGTGGCAAGCAGATATATACTTAGTTTGGACAAAGGCATTGAAGAGTATATTACCACATTGTGTCGTTTATTGCGAAAAGCGACATAAAAAAACAAACGAAACCTTTCTAACACGGGATTTAATGAAAGGCAGAAAAAAGACAAATATAGATCCACAAATTCCAAAGGAAATTTGACAAATGAAAAAGGTTTAATGTTTTAAAGCTGCGGGGATCAAATACGTTTTAGTAAGTTGACATACGTCGCGAGTAAGAGAATTTTTTTCGAAAAAAATAGTTAACCCATGGTACTCACAATGTGTCCTACATTTTGTTCACGCCTATCGGTGAACTGTATCTAATATATTTACATTCAACACTAAAAGTGTAAGAAATTATTTTAACTTTCTTTAACTTTTTACTTTCAAAAAAATGAATAGAGGTTTGTTTTTTTAAAGATATTTTATTGTTCATTCAATTTACAAAAAAATAATAACAGATTGATAATGTGTATATATAATTAAACATAATATTTTGTTCACGCTTATAGGTTAAATGTGTCTAATATATTCATATTCAACACTAAAATATAAGAAATTAATGTAACTCCGTTCATTTTAATGTTCAAAAAAATGAATAGATTTTTTTAATAGATATTTTATTGTTCTTTCAATTCACAAAAAATAACAACAGAATGATAGTATGTATAACATTTAACATCTAACGAATAGCACCTTTTCATTTATACATTTCGTTTTCAAACTATTACAAATGCATAAGACAGCATATATACGTTCCGGTACTAATTACCACAGAAACATAACATAATCATATACAGTTGGAAGTTATTACTCATCTTTAACAATATAACATGTTATACATTGGATGAACAGTTTTTCAAAAAAAGAGCCTCACGCACACACACGCACCCACCACGAAAGACACACACACATACAATCTTACCTATACCCTCCCTTGTTTGCAGCATTTCTTTTCACAAAAATGTAATGTATGCATTGAGAGTACATGAGGTTCATGTTATGCCACAGCCTCTCTGAGGCATTCACCCTCGCTACTCTCATTCCAAAACAGTTCCTCTTATCCGTAACCGACTTCCCATTAAGGCATTATTTGAAGAAATGTTCGTGTTTGGAATGAAATATCCACCGATGTCTAAGTCTTCTTTTTGACGTTTTGTAATCCGTTTTCATGTCTTTATATTCATGGATCTCCTCCCATGTATTGTTGTGGTTTATTGGAGTGTGAAAAGAACAATGTATTATATTAGCATAATAAAAAATGATTTAGCAAAATATTGAAACCTTTCGTACTCCAATAATTATAAAAATCAGTCGTATTTATGAGTGTGGTATCGTGTTTTTATTAATAGAGTATCAATTATTCATCGGTTACAGATCAAGATATATACAATATAGTTACTTTATCTCGTTGTAGTTTATCAAAGTAAAATGAACTATGTTGATAATATTTTATGGAATGATTAATTCTCTGTTGCTGTGTGGCGATTTGTTGTGATGGATTCTATTCTTGCTTTCTATGGGTACACTTTACAAGGCTGCATTTTTGGACTAATATTGCATATAATATCATGGAAAGCAATAAAAAAAAAATTGTTCGAGTATCACTTTTTCCAGGTGATCTCTCGAACTAAGCACTTGAATGTCTTCAGCCCTTCATACATATACGAATTGAAGCTATACAATATATTTATGATTCATTAATTTATTACAGATGTGTTTAAGGTAGGCTTATACGAAAACCAGTCATGAATTGTTTGGTGCGCATTGATAACGGTTATATCTTTAGCTCAAGCAACAACATCGTCCCAACGGGTATCCATATAATACCTTCTTGAATGATTTAACGAAGGTGAGCTTATATACGTTAACAATCAGTGCCAGGCTTGAAAGCTCACACACACGTGCGCACACACACAAATGCATTCTCCAAACACAAAAACACACACACCCGCATGCACACTCCCACACACACGTACTACCCTTTTCATTTATTTGGGGATAATGGGTATACCAAATAGTTTGACCAAAAATTACACCTTCATCCGTTTGAGCACCTAGATTACATAGTGTAATATGTTTCCATGCATTGTTTATTTTGTTTATATGCCGAAATAATAAATTGATGGTAGGACAGGGATGAAAAACATTTTTCGAAAATCGATTTATAGTTAAAATAATACATATATATTTCGTGTCGAAGTGGACCACTCCATTTCCGACCATTACCTCGCAGAGCAGCTGGTGATAATTATACATCCATATTTTCAGAATACATCTATCCTTGTCTTTCCTCAATGAATAGTCTTCTAAAGTTCCTTAATTTCTATGTGGACCTATTAATGATCCTCGTCCATTTAAATATCTTCTCATTTATTAACGCCTGTCCAGTATTCGGGTTTGGAAGGATTCATTTTAAAAACTTCTTAATTTTTGGTATCTAAAAGAAAGTCAAATATCAACAAAATTCCATCGTGTATGTGGCTTTCTTTTTAAAGGCATGTTCAGATATGACGTGACAAAATCGCGACGTTTTTTCTTTTTTAATAAAGACGTAAAGTGCAATACCCTTGAAATATCTGCACTCTGAACTATGTGATTCTTTAAAACGTGAAAAATCTGCGGCTATTTAATTTTTGCATCGGTTTACCGCGTGATATCTGACCAAGTCTTAAGCAGTTGTGATGTTGGTGTAATCAGGAATAATATCGTATTCCGTATCTGACGATGACCTTGCCACTTTGTGTTTGTCATCACCAAGTGGGATGGCAGTTACTGCCATTTTAGCATTTGTCGGAACTCTAGCTTGATGTGTTGAGATTACAGTCAGGATAATCGTCTTTATCTGCAGAAGGCTCTTCATAAACAGTTGTCATGTCCATGTATTCATGTAGTTCAGGCGCTGTACTGCCTTTTGTTACGGAGGCATGTTCTACATCTTTCACATATGGACAGTTTGTCCGGGATCCTTGAGTTACAGATGGATCCCTGTCTATGCCTACATCCGTATCTGAGTTGATATCCATATACTCCTGTTTGTGATTTTCTCGAGTATGTTTTGATTCTTTGCTGACACTTGCTTTCTTGTAATACCGTTGGAAATCAGTTAAATTCAGAGAAATTTCGTTTCCTAAACCTGTAACACCAGGTAGAAGATACCCATCGGTGTCTATGTCTGTAAATCCTGGGGGCTCGTGATAAACAGACTTGATATCCATGTATTCATGAACCCCATCTTGTCTGCTGAGTTGTAGAGTTCCTTTCAAACTTCCTTTATTGTCAATATTGGGTAAACCAGTTGATATTACTCTCAAATTCGGGGTAACTTCGTTTTTGGAGGGTGTAACGCTTGGGAGAAGATAGCCATCAGCATCTTTGTCGGCGTCTACTGATGTCACACCAGGAAGAAGATAACCGTCAACATCAAAGTCCAAACCGGATGATGGCTTTTGATAAACAACGTTCATGTCCATGTACTTATGATCTATATCTTGTATATTGGTGTGTGTTGCTCTCGTCATTTTGACGTCAGTCTCTGTTACATTGGCAGCCGTCGATACTATTGTTGATGTAAATTCAGACTTTGAAGCTGCTGAAGTTGGAAGAAGATAACCGTCAATGTCTGTGTGTGTGTCAATTGGAGGCGTTTGATTAATAGTATTCATTCGCGACATCATGCGAAATTCAGACTTTGATCCCGATTTCGTTGCTCTCCTAGTTGGAAGATAGCCATCAAGATATGTGTCTGTGTCTGTTGAAGACTTTTGATTTGCAGGCTTCATGTGCATGTCTTTATGAATTGCCTCTTGTTTATCGCTATGCCTTGATCTTGTCATTCTTTTGTCGTTGCAAGAACGTGATACACATGCGGCTCTCGTAGCTACCATAGGAGTTAATTCAGACCTCAAAGCTGTGGAAGATGAAAGTAGGTAACCATCAAGATCTACATCTGTGCCTGTTGCGGGCTTTTGACTGATAGGCTTCATGTCCATGTATTTATGAACCGCATCTTGTTTATTGATTTGTCTTGCTCTTGAAATTCTTATCTCATTGTCAGAACCTACTTCATCTTCAGTTGTGGTTCCTATTTCCATGTATACTCTTGGTTCCGGAGTTGTACCAGTTGGTAAAAGATAACCATCAATGTCTTCATCTTTAGAACTACGAGGTCTTTCACGGATAGGTTTCATGTCCATGTATTCATGGGATGCATTTTGTCCACTGTCTCCCCTGATGTGCTCCTGCTCACCTGCCGTATTTTCACTCACTGTCCAGGCAACATGCGATTTTTGTTTCCGAGATGACACAACAGCTGACAAGCGTTCTGGTAATTTAGGTGGGGAATTAATATCCTGATAGATTGAGTCTAAGTTCTGAAGGTCTACAGACTTAGAATGCATCAAATCCATGTATACAGTTGTATCAAGATTGATTTTAGCTCTTCTCTTCCTTGATCGACATATTAGGCAATATACGAACCCTGTGATAAGAATAATGCTCGGAACGGGAATACATATTCCGAGCAATAGTATGTTTGTAGTATTTGAATCCAGAGATGTATTTCCGAGATCCGTTGATAGCACTTCTAGCGTTGTGCTTGGCAAAGAAGAATCAGTAGTCTCGAATTCAATAGTACTAGAAGATTCTGAAAGATAATACAGTATTGAGAATTATTCAGTAAAGAACAAAAACAACGCTCATAGTTTTTTGTATTGTCTCAAATGTTAAAAAATATTTCCCTTTAACATTTATAGTCATTATAAGCAACATATTTATCTATTCAGATGTATGTTAGCTACTGTAGCTACGGTATGTCTTCGATTCCTTCGATTCCTTCATTATTGTTGTTTTTCTTGTCTTTTTTTAAAGGAGATATGAATACAAATAAATTTGTATTACTGTTATTAGAGCACAAATTGTTGCATTTTGTGTATAAATAACAAGGGGGTTAACTGTACTGTCGTATCCTGACTTTAACATGTATGAATGTATAGTTTGTTTCTACACAACTATTCTTGCTACCCACCAACAGCATCAACTGAAATGTCTTCGCCCGATGAACTGAACCGTTCTCCTTTTGTCACAGCAGTGCAGCGGTAGGCCCCTGTATCTACTGCATTGGCTCCTTTTGAGGAACTTAAATTCTACAAGCTATATGCTTTTTATTAAGTTCCATTTTTTACATGTAATTCTCGAAATTATTTAGTGTAAATGCCATACAAACTTATGCTATGTAGATGTCTTAATTGTTCACGAATATCAATTTTGTAAATATGCTAAGTTTTGTTAATGTATTGTTGTTGTTTTTTCAGATGAAATGAAAGAAATTAAACTGAAAAAACTGACACAAAAAAAATACCTGGAAAATAGCAACCGGCTGAAAAGCTCCCAAATTAAGGGAGTGGAGATAAAGAAAGAGTTGAGAGGGCATATATTGTAATTGAATCCAATGAAATTTATCTGTATCAACAGTCAAAGAACATCAATCAAAGAAAAGAAAAGGAGTTAAAAAGTTGATATGGAAAAAAAAATACTTTCTCTCTTACCTTGGACAAAGATGTTAACATTCTCGCTGTCGGTCATTATCCCAGCTCCGTCAAAAGCCAAGCACCTATAAATTCCATCATCTTCTCGGGTAATGCCAGATATCTTGAGCACGTTGAAGAAATACGTCCCTCCTGTTCCAATTTCTTGGCTTGGTTCAATGCTAGTCCTGTTCATACCATCCACCAGTCTCACCTCATTCCGCTCCCATGCTATGCTTGCTTCACTGCTCGAGAACACGGTACAGTTGAGACTTGCCGTTCCGTTTAGTTGGACATAATCCTTAGATCTGCTGAGGTCATGGTCAATTTTACCAAGAACTGAAAGGAGCAGTGCAGAATAAAAAATTCCATGAAACCGAGCTGGGCATCCAAAGTACAACAGGTAACGGGCAACAGTACAATCTGGTAAGGCGAGGCGTCAAAAATAAATATACCAGCCAGCGGCAGCTAACTGCACTTGCGCGTCCTGGCTGCATTTTTTAAATTAGCTCAGCCGGCTACCGCTGGCGGTAGGACCCTCAATTAACTCATGATGTCATCATAATGGTCTCCGAACAAAAGCATGCGCCGGCTGCCGCCTTTCGAATGGAAACCGAGCCTCAGATCCCAGCCTGGCGCAAGCCGGCTGGGCTAATAAGTGAAAAATAATTGCCCCAGCCAGGCTTCGGCCGTAATTGCAGCCTCGATGCGCCAATACGTGAGGCGGCAGCCTGCTGGTATCGATATTTTTGACGCCTCGCCTAAATACCACTTGCAATGCTGAATTCTCAGAACAATCTGAATGTTAATTGCAAAATATATCTACAACAAATTTTTAACGGATCAGCTCACACTACTTTTCTTTGCAAACTGTCTATAGGTTTCAAAATGCATGTATTTGGGACTTGTAACAAATGCCCCTTTAACTTATGTATGGTGTCTATACATTTACATAGAATATTAAAGAAAATATCAGATATCTGCATGTACTCCATTAACAAAAAAAAATACTAATTGGATGTACGGTACATGTACAAATCAACCGGATAGTGACATTTTCGATTTGTATGACAATTCTGTATGCATGTATAGTTTGTTTCTTCAAGTTCATCAACTTTTCTTGCTACTCACCAACTACATCAACTAAAATGTCTTCGCTCGATGAACTAAACCGTTCTCCTTTTGTCACAGCAGTGCAGCGGTACGCCCCTGTATCTTCTGCACTGGCTCCCCGAATGGTGATGTAGTACATCCCCATGTCAGCTAGGTTGCTGTCTACCCTGTATTCCACATCAGTTGTACCCGAGAGTTTGTCACTATCTCTGTACCAGGCAACCTCATCCAGGTCTATCCCAGCGAGATTAACCTGACAAGGTAGTGTAAAGTCGTCGCCCTTTGATATTGTATCGTTAGATAGGCGGTTGGCTGTGACTTTAACCTCGCCTGCAAAGAGTGTAAGTACCAAGTCATGGTTAGGGTACTTATTACAAATTACGGTCTTCTTGTACAGCATGAAGTTTTAGGCCAGGATAGTATGCAAAACGGTCTATATGTTCAATAGATTCCTAGTGAGCATTCTGAGAGCAACTTTAATTCAAGAACACTCAGTGGACATATGTAGTTACATGCACAGTACATGCACATGTATACTTTAAAGGGGAAGTCCACCTTGATATTAAAGTGGGTTTCAATCAAAGCAGAAATGTGAGAGAAACAAATCAGTTAAAGTTTGAGCAAATTCTGATTAAATAATAGGAAAGTTACGAATATCAGAAGTTGTCATCAGTGAAACACAAATTAGCAACACTATGACGTATTTTGCGAGCTCCTCTCCAATTTGCTCTGTACAGAAAATCTCATGAATTTAAAGTTTCTTAGTTATTGATGTTGGAATAGATTTGTTTCATACAGAGGTTGTATAAAAACGTATTTGCATAAGTTATATTAAGGGTGAATGTATTAGTATAGGGCAGATGAGAGGGGAGCTCGTAAGATGCCAATTTGTGTTTGATCGATCACACCTTCAAACATTTATATTTATTTTTTTCTTTATTTTTTTGCTCAAACATTCACTTACTTGTTTCTCTCATTTATCGGCTTCTATCAAAACCAACTTAAAACCAGGTTGGACTTCCCCTGTAATACAGCCCTTTAAGAGTGGTGTACCATTAACACTTGGTTACTTTATTCGCCTCTCTGCACAGTTGCTCATTTGCCACATGTGCAATTTTGCATAAAACAGGCAACACTTGACGAAAGGATAGCTTTAAACATAACAGTTTTGCAAAATTACCCTTTTTTTGGTCTTGATTACCTCCATGACAACCCTCTCAACACCGGTATAGATTAATGCATTGGAGACAGGTAAATAGTCTTGAAGCCTTTAGAATATCTATGCCATTATAAATATAATGTGGCACAGGGAGATTATTTGGGTAGCATATACAGGGTTAAGTTTGAATGTAAATGGAAAATAAGACACACACATGTGCAATTCAATTCAATGATTTCACATTTAAATATTTGTTATGACATTCATCATGATCATGCGTATTTACTTCTCTAAATGATCTTTGACTCTAGCCATCACAATACCAACAAGTTCACTTACTTCTGTCACAAACTGCTCCCTCAAATGCTGGATCACAAGTGCAGCTCCCATCAACGTTACTGCAGTTAGCACCATCCACACATGTACAGTTTTTCATACAGTAATCTCCAAAAGTACTAGCAGGACAGACTGAAATAGTTGCATAATATAGGAATAGTTAAACAGCAGCCCCTGTCTAAACATTTGTCCTCCATCTGACAAACTCTAACAACAATCATTTAAATAGTAATGTTACTCTGCAACCAGAGTACCAATCGCATTTACGATGGCCCCTAACGAAACATGCCCTTCACAACTTCTGAAAGATCCAGACAACCTCCATATTAATTGTTACTTCTCTTAATAAACAGATTATTAGTACCATCACCAAACTGTATGCAATCAGCAGCAAAATCATTTCTTTAGAAAATGCCAGCAGGAATTCAAGAAATATGACAAACAGTGTATCTACAAACTCTGTATATATTAACACTTTATTTCTAAAGGGGAAAGATGCAGATTTACTATTAAACTATGCTAATGTGTTGTTGTGCTCTAATATGATATGGCACAAAAAGGGTTAAAAGGAAATAAAAGAGAATTGGATTATATCTATAAAAAAATAACCATAGCATTGAATAAAACTTAATACTTTCTCCCGGTATACTTCTTGAAATAACCTTTTGAAATCATGAACTTCCATTTGTTTGTATGCAGGATTTATAGTCACAAATTTGGTCTGATCATTTGCACTGCAATCTAAGTAATCAATCAAAAACGGTATGCAAATGTAATAATCATGTTATATAAAATGTGTTTTGAACAACCTTAGCAACAATCCTGCTCCTTTTATGTTCAGAAATATAAGAACAAGCATTGTCATGATATCCATCCCCCTATATGTGCAAATTCACATACTATGTTCACAATATGATCCATTTGAAACCCGGAGGACAAGTGCAGTTGAAATAGTTTGTGCCTTCAAAGCAGGTTCCTTCATTCCCACAGGGCAATGCGTCGTATTCACGAGAATAACCCTTTCAGCATGTTAAAAATTAATCCTATATAGAACATCAAAACATTTTTTTCTCCAATGCCGGGTGTAATTCAAAGCTCTTGATCAGCAGTAAATTTTCTGCTACTTTTGTTCTTTTTATTTATACAATGCAAATGCTTTGGAACTTAGCAAAAACTTAGTGCCTATTCACCTTTGGAAAACATTGTTTACATGATTACAATAACGGGAATTGTTAAGACTTTAACAAAGAAATTTGTAAAATAGCTTTTGAAAATCGAAATTTCGAGGCCCTGAAGTATTTTGCGGGTGCCATCTAACTTTTCACATGAGCCCTCGTGGTTCTGAAACATGACAGTTATATGAATCAATAGAAAATATATATTGCTTTTGTTAACAGTATAAATAAACAGCTCATCTTAGAACTGTATTACAATACCATAAACGAATATAATTGTATTATCTATCAAAATTGTTTGGGTGTTTCAAAAATAGGAACGTGTTTAAATATACTCTGTGTTAAATAACAAAGGTACTTTAATATTATTAAGTTTAGATTAAGCTGCAGTGTCTTTAAATCATTTCTTGTCACTTACTGGTATAAAACAAAGTAAAAAGTGTTTATCTAAAACTAAAAAACATTGGATTACCTGTCATGAACATATGTCAAAATAGGTTAATCAACTATGTTAAGAATATAATAATAATAATGATGATGGTGGCTTCTTATATTGCGCACATTTCTGTCACTCAAATTTATCACAAATCTGCATAAGAACAGCACAATCCAGAAATTCAAATTCCCAATACGACACTGTTACCCGTAGAGTCGGAATAATTTGTTTCTCATCTCTTTTCAAAAAATGGCTGTGACAATTTGGCTATTCTTGATTAAGTTGACCTCTTCTCAGCCCTTTTTTTTAATATAAAGAGTCATAGAGATTGACGAATACAGTTCTGAGAAGATATAATCAATATTTAATCTATCAAGATAAAATCATATTGTCACAGTCAACTTATTAAAAGAGGTATGTGCAAAATCTATCAATTTTATGGGCAACAGTGAACCAAATCGTTCATCTTAATCATGATTTTGGAATTATTAAGTGGAGTGGAATTTGTACAAACCATCTGCATCACCGGGATTCCTTATGTGGTTTTATTCAGTTCCCTTCATTGACACATGGGTTGGGGTCACATGCATCAATGTCTTCAGGGCAAAGCAAACATTATCACAGCCGCAAAAGAAAATCAAAATCATGCAAAATAAAATGTTAAATGCCCAACGTTTTCCATTACCTGTGAGCTTTGTATTCTGTTAAGTGCATTTTTTTTTTTACTTTTTAAAAGGTGGGCCTAGCTCCTTGTAAGGTCAAACCCGTAGAGCAGGATCTTGAATATGTTCACGCTAGTCAGATGTGACAACATAAATTATTATGTAAAATGTTTCTACTGAATATATGGTGGGATCAAAATGAATATAAATATAAAAATAGCGTGCAAATCTGCTTAACATTAACATTTATTTGAACAATTTTTTTTTTTTTTTTTTTTTTTTTTTTTTTGGGGGGGGGGCTCTAATTAATGAAAACTGACCATCGAACTTTAAATGTATATATCATATTTCCTACATATATGCACCTTATTCATACATGTACTTATATTTATTATATTTTATCTGCACATGTGTATATTGCTTTTTCTTCATGCTTTTTTCTTGGACACTCAAGAATTGTTTCAGCTCTTGGGTATGCTAACGAAGTGTATTTGCTTTAACAAATGTATTTAAACGGGATAACTAAGCTACAAGATATGTTACCATATTCACAGTCAGTTCCACTGAATCCTGTCTGACATGAACATGTGTATCCATTGACCAAGTCCATGCAGGTCCCTCCATTCATACAGGGGTTGCTCAAGCACTCATTGGTATCTGGACCAAAATAAAAATGGGGTAAAAATGTTCTGTTAGGTTGTCTTTATATCTCATTTGTTTGTTCGTTGATAGCCCATTAAATATACAACAGAATATATCAAGCTCTGCAAATGACATCATTCCTACCAGGTCTAATGAAATATAGAGTGCCGAGAATGACTGAACTATAAGCTAACGCATTATACCGAACCCAGTCCTGAAAGTTCAAGACTACAAATATAGCACAAGAGCAAAATTTGGCCAAAAACTGTTCTGGGTTTCAGTGCCTCGGTGGTCACCCCGCTGTTACTCTAGTAGTTTCTTGATTTTGCACACGAACCGTAGATTCTTCAAATAAGCACTAGTCGACAGAGGCAACCGTTCTATGAATGGATAATTAAATTCACTTCTAGCTGCTTATACCACAGCCGTGGCAGCCTGTGTCGACGGGCTCGTAATTTGGTCGAAGACGGGCTGAACGGAAATGGATCAAGAGTTGTTCTGAGACAGATCATACAGATTTTAAGCTAGCTAACAGTCATGTTAATGACCTTATCTTTAAAACCAAAAATACCTAATGGAATTTCTTTGTAAAGCTAGTCAATCATTATATATTACTGAATCGTTTAGAGTTCCGTTTTCATATATCTGGTCTAGCTCTCAGGTGGATGAAGTCTTTACTAGTTCATCTAGGGTAAACAAAGCTGGGGAACTGTTTGACCCGAGGGTTGTTGACTTTGGGGTGCTCCAAGGGTCTGCTCTCGGACCGTTCCTTTTCAGTCTATACATCACCCCCCCCCCCCCTTATCTGACATTAATATACATGGTTAACAGTATTTTTGCTTATTGATGATATTCAGTTGTATACTTCCTTTGATCCACACTGGAAAACATGAACGAAACACTTGACCCAATATCGCTAT